GATGTGGCAAGGCTAGAGCTAATTGCTGGTTGTGAATCTCAGATGCATTTTCATTCTTTTTAGGATCAGAGGCAGCTGATGAAGCCCTCTCCTCATTTGACTGTGGATGGCTTGACGAAGATGGTTCTTTCTGAGAAACCTGAAGTTTGGCTAGGTCTTTTTGAGTCTCAGCAAGTTCTTGCTTGTCTCTTATAATCTGTACAGACCTATGGACCTACAGAAATGCATCAAATACAAATTCAGTTCACAAGACTTCCCTTGCATAGGCATACTCGACACTAGCAATACGTGAAAATTCAAAACTTGCTAATCCTCCTGGTCGGTATCAAATTTTAAGAAATACAAAATGATAACAACAAGGGGCTTGGAAATGGTAGTCCATTGTTCCATCAAGTGCATGGTTTCAATAGGCAACAAACAAGTGTTGAGTTTAAGCTGCAAACTAGTTGAACATTTCTCCACAATCACTAGAAACAATGCATGCCTGTGTCTATAAATAATCATATACCATCAACCAAAATAATAAAAATAAAAATAATGTTACTATTTTAAAATCATAAATTATCAAAGAAGATCCTCAGCTGTACTACTTACAAACTCTTAAAAGTTCTGGAGTTGTAGCTCACCTCTTGTAGATGCTTCTCAATAGATTTAAGCTTTGAATCTGACTCTTCGTGGTCACGAGCTAATTCAGATCGCATTTCTCCAACAGATTTATCAAGGTTGTAGCAGTATAGTTCAAGTTGTGATAGGCGTGAACTTATTCCCTCGAGAAAACGCAAAAGGTTATCAGAATGCTTTTTCATGCTGTTCTCAACAGTAGAAATCACATCTTGTTTGATGGAATCTTCTGCTTGACCATAGGCAGAAGCAGGGAATACAGAAGACATTCTACCTTTGTGAAAATCCTGCTGAGATTAACACGCACAACACTAATTACTCATGATATAATGCATATTGAATTTCTTATATAACATAATTCGATAAGACATAAAACCTATTGACAGTCATTGTTTAATAAAAATTGATAGGAGTAAATCTAAATATAAACCTTGGGCAAATAGAAAGCACAAAATCTCGTCAGGTCAGATTTTTTAAGGCTCAAGCTGCAAAAAGACTAGAAATGTCATTTGTTGCTAAAATTAGGATTAGCAGCCAAACCATCTTACTGCTGTTCCTCCTCAGTGATTCCAACTTTAATCAGACTCGCGATTGAGGAACCATTATAACAAATATCAATTGCAAGATGGATACACAGAAAGATACCAAACCGTAAACCAAGTACAAAAAGCTAGCGTTCTTCCCCACTAGGACAATTATTCAAAACTGGAATAAATTCCTCGCACATAATGAAAAAGAAGAAGCTTTGTAACAAMATTTACAAGCTCACAATGATTTTTCAAAATCTAACAGGGTAAAAACGTTCACAATACCAATGACCGAATTTTCATAGTTCAAGCTAGATTGGACAACTAATTTAATTCCGGAAATCACCAAAAATTTCACTAAATTGTAAATCAGACAGGCGTCTTATGTAAACTTCAATACTGCAAAATGGCTCGGCAAAGATCTTCATCCCCTGCTTCGAATACTCGTTTCTTAAGCCAAAAATAAGCGCTACCCAATGAAACTTAGATGTTAAATAGCGAGTTATTGACCTTGACAGGGATAGAGGGCATTATCACACAATTGAAAAAGAATAATACAAAAGATCACAAACCCTAATCGTACCTAACAATGACAAATCTAAAATCTCTCCCAAACATCCATAACCCACAACAGATAGACCAATCGCAGAAACGTAAGAACGGCTACCACCGCCTACCTTGCTGGAATTCGTAACGGGATCGCTGTGGCTACCGTTTGAAGAGTCCTTGTTGGCGTAGTCCTCGTATGAGCAGAGAATATCATCGGAACCAAAATCAAAGGCTTTGGGGGCGGAGTTAGGGCGACCTGCTGAGCCAGACGCCATAGATCGAAGTGAGTAATCGATAGAATGCGAGTGAAAGCTGCGATTTTTAGGGGGAGATTTCCGGATATCGAGACCAAAATTTTCTTCGGATGCCTTCAAATCCAAGACTGTGTTTATATGTAGGCTTATGGATTAAGGTTTTTTTCATTAAAGAAATACTAATTATAAGATGCCTGCTCAGTATTCATTTTATTTCATTCAAATTCAAATGATTCTCTTTTTATTATTATTTTTTAAATCAATATTACGACCAAACTTGAGATCTTAAAATAGATTGTACCTTACAACTCCGAGAGTGTACCACATGGCTACTTCTTAAAGAATAAATTCAAATTATTCTAAAAATATGTCAATATTTCTTTTCTACATGTCGGAAGTTCGATTTATCATCTTAAATTTGTTGTACTAAAAAAATTATTTTAAAAAAATATATTAAAATATAAGTTAACTTATCTATGATATATATATATATATATATATATATATATATACTTTATATAATGATTGAATATAAAAAATTAGTTGTATGAAGAATTTTCATTTATAAATTGATCTACATGATAAATGAATAACTTAACTGAAATGAGTTGGAGGGATTAAAAGATTGAAAAGGTGAGAAAATTTAGATAAGGGAGAGAGGTTGAGGGAGCGATTGAGGCAAAGAAAAGTCAAGACTCTAATGATTATAAATAAGTAATTAAAAATTAAAAAGAGATTCCTTACTTATGAATTTTCTTTCATGATACAAGCTCGTATTATAACACTTTTTTTTTATAGAATGATTTAATTATAATAAAGTATTAACTAATGATAAAACCAACCTTTTTTTTTCAATAACAACCWTTTTTTTTTAATTTAGTAAACCCTACAAATTTTAAAAYAATAGMAACTAAATCAAAAGAAACATTAGAGACACGTCTRTACATTTTAGTCATAACAAATGAAATTGAAAAATCAAAGAAAATGTCATGAATAGAAGATTAAACACCGTTTTAGTTGTAAATTTGTGTTTTTTAGTTTTTATGGGGCGGATCAAACCATCAAATTTGCAGATGCTAATAGTAACATGTGAGTTTAGTATCAATCATCATATGAAAATCTATGCTCTATTCTTCGTTTTCGGGTAAATGCAGAAGAAACAGGCACGAGCGACAAAAGGAAATTCAAGAATATGCAAAAGTAGAAACTACATTCAGAGGGGAATCATCTGAAAAGGTTTGAAACTGAGGGGTAGAAGATATTGATACAAGGTTTAAAACTTAAAACATACAATACAATCAACTTTTTTTTATATCTCCCAAACCATATACATACGAGAAGAGAGAACACAGTGGAATCATAAACCAGTCTTTTATTCAATGCATTAAAAAGACGCAATGGCTAGGCTGGTCATGGCCTATATGAGCCTCAACAAGCAGGCGACTCTCTACTACTAAAGTTACTGTCACCATACCCTCTGAGGAGGACCTCCAGAATTACTCAACCCGTCTAGAACGGCATTGAAGTCGATAGGTTGGCCGCTCACCTCCATCCGATGAATTACACTGGCAACATGGTCACCCCTGAAACCCATGCCCATCAGTTTCTCGACTATATCACTGTAAGGATGGTTTTGGTTGCGCATAAAGTTCCTGGCGATAACTTCGGAGCCTGTTGGGTGCTGAGGAATCTGAAGAGATGAATTGGCCGGAGGATATCCACTTTGGTTGAAGTGTGGTTGTTGAGGTTGAGGAGGATGCTGTGCTGGTGATTGTTGAGGTTGAGGATGATGGTGTGCTGGTCTTCCGCTTTCCCTATCATACATCATATATGCACCGCCCGACGAAAGTGCAGATTGTGGTCCAGATGGTAAATACCCCTCACCCGGTGCTGGTCCGAAAGCGTTTTTGACTTGAGGAGGCTGCTGAGGTACAGTACCACCACTTCCAGAATATCCATAAGGCAAAGCGTCCATACGACTCGAACCTGGCTGAGGAATGGATGAAAATGACACTTGCATAGGCATGCTGTTTGGCAGAGTCTCCGGCATAGAAGTCGGTTGATTCAGCGCATAAGATGCATAGACTGAAGTAGGAGGTGGTCTGATCTGAGGTTGCATAGAAGGCTGTTGTTGTGGTGGTTGTACCTGTTGAGGTGGCTGCGGCGGCGTCCATTGTTGTTGATACTGATTGAATTGCTGTGGTGGCGGCGTTTGACCTAGCTGGGAATTGGTCATCTGTGATGGCAACCGAGAAGCATCTTGAAATTGTTGATATTGGCTCTGGGCATGCTGGATATGGGTTGGTTGACTTGGCAATTGGGTTGAAGAGATGTAATAAGATTGCTGTTGGGGCACATTCTGTGGCATAGCTGCTGCTGGAGGAGGTGGTGTAATAGGATTCTGCTGCGGGACAATCTGATGAGGCAGGGCGAGAGCTAATTGCTGATTGTTATTCTCAGACAGATTATCATTCTTTTTAGGATCAGAAGCAACTGGTGAAGCTCTCTCATCATTTGAATGTGAATGGCTGGACGAAGATGACTCTTTCTGCAAAAGATGAAGTTTGGCCAGGTCTTTTTGAGTCTCAGCAAGTTCTTGCTTGTCTCTAATAATCTGCACAGACCTGTGGACCTACAGAAGGGTATCAACAAGGACAAATTCAATTCAGAGACAATACTAAAAACTCACTGCCACTTAAACAATGAAGTAATACGACAAAGTTACGTTGAAGTTATGTTGGCAATTCGAAAGGAATGGTCCAAGCACCCAAAAGAAAAACAATGGACAACAACCTAAAATCAATATTTCAAATATTGCTAACCCCCTGGATGGCATGATCAGCATCAAGTTATAAGAAACTAAAATGGTGATGACAACAAGAGCAGGCTTGTGAAGGGCAGTCTCTGTTCACACTAAGTGTGTAATTTCAAGATCCAACAAATAAGTCCTGAGTTTAAGTTGAGACTAATTTAATGCTTCCGTATAATCATTAGAAACAGTGCATGCCTTGTGTCTATAAATGATCATGTAATATCAATAGGAAACGATGTTACTATTTCAAAATGATCAGTATAAAAGAAGATTCTCTTATTGTACAACTTTAAAACTCTTGAGAAGTTCTAAAAGTTGTTGCTCACTTCTTGTATATGCTTCTCAAGAGATTTAAGCTTTGAATCAGACTCCTCATGGTCACGAATTAAGTCAGATCGCATTTCTCCAATGGATTTATCAAGGTTGTAGCAATTCAGTTCAAGTTGTGATAGGCGTGAACTTATTCCCTCTAGAAAACGCAAAATGTTATCAGAATACTTTTTCATGCTGTTCTCAACAGTAGAAATCAAATCTTGTTTGATGGAATCTTCTGGTTGACCATAGGCAGCAGCAGGAAAGACAGCAGACATTCTACTTTTGTGAAAATCCTGCTGAAATTAATAAGCAAGACTCAATTAATCATGCAATAGTACACATTGAGTTCTTAATATAATATTATTGAATAAGACATAAAGCTGATTGATGGTGCTCGGTTAATATTATTTATGAAACAGATAAATATAAAACTAAAGACAAGTACAACTAAACAAAAATTATTGTCTAGTTAGTTTTTTCAAGGCTTAAGCCACGATAGAACTAGAAACATCATTTGTTTCCACGGAAGCTAATAAAATAATGAATCATTGCAGCCAAATAATCTTATGGGTATTCTTCCTCTGTAATTTCAACTTTTATGAAATTCGGTATCGAACCTAGAACAAATAACAGTGTTCAACTAATTCTTCACGATGCCAGTTCATGAACCCATATACTTGTAAAAATTAATAAAAAGTGCAACTCGCAAATATGTTAAACTACAATACCAAAAACCTTGATTAAAAGCTAATGTTCTTCTCTTCTAGGACAATCATTCAAAAATGAATTAAATTCCTTGCAAATCTAATGTGAAACAAGGAGCTTCGTAAGAACATTTCTGAGTTCACAATAAATTTAAATCTTAGGGGAAAACACTCACTAGACTCAGGACCAAAATTTTCATAGTTCACGCTAGATTGACCAACTTATTTCATTCTGGAGACCGGGAAGCACCAAGAGTGTTGACTTCCGGCGTCGAATTCGAAGTTAATACAAAATGGATCGACTCAACTTTAATACAAAAAAATTAACTAAGAATTAGAAATACTACATCATCGCAAACTGAAAACGTCTCATCACGGATCTTTATCCCCGGCCACAAATAGTCGTTTCCCAAGCCAAATACAATCGCCGCCCGATGAAACTTAGGTAATAAACAGCGAGTTATTTAGCCCGACGAAGATGAAGAACTACATCACGCAGCTAAAAAGGAACAATTTCAATAATCACAAACCCTAATCGAGTACCGAACAATGACAAATCGATAATTTTCTTTCAAAAACGTCCCACAAGTCATACCCCACGACAAACGCACCAACCGCAGAAGCTCAAGAACAACTAACACGACCTACCTTGCCGGAATTTGCAACGGAGAGATCACTGTGGCTGCCGTTGGAAGAGTCCTGGTTACCGTAGTCCTCGTACGAGCAGAGGATATCATCGGTACCAAAATCAAACGTTTTGGAGGCCGAGTTTGGCCGACCAGCCGAACCAGACGCCATAGATCGCAGTGAGTAATCGGAAAAACTGCGATTTGAAGGAAGATAARAGAGAGAGAGATGAAGGTTTTGGCTTTGCTTTTTTTTTCGGTTATCGAGAAGGGAAATTTCTGCTTATGGCTTTTCCGCGAAATGAACTTCCATGGATTTGTTTCTTTGTATCTTATAGAAATGGATTTCGATTTTTCTTTTTTCTTAAATGAAAAAATAAATGGAAAATGGAAGAAACGTTGGACATGAGGAAGGACTTTGTTTTAATTTATTGGTTTTTTTTTTTTACAATTTTTAATTTATTGGGTTGATTTGAAGTGTACGGCCAGATATGAAATAAGTGATATGGGCTCGCCGACCATCTTCCGATTTTGCAGATAAGTCCTCATATTTTTATGCATTTCCAATTACTCTCCTATATTCAAATGAATTAATCAATAATCTACCTCAATTATTCTTTAATTTTGCGTTTATCGCAAGGTATTTTTTGCATTATTGCTTTTCTGCACTTTAGTTCCATCCTCTCTTAATTTTTCCGTCATCAAATTATCATTTTCGTATCGTGGCTAATTTATCGGAGTAACAATTAATTCTTTATATTTTAAAATTGATAATAATTTAATTATTGAATTTTAGTATGTAATAACTTCATTTTTTAGTTTAAATTTTGTAACAATGCAATTCTTAACGAAAAGTCTCATCAAAACTCATTTGGTTCTCATTATTTTATCGATGTACATATATAATAAAAATCATATTAAATTTTAAAAATATTTTCTATATAAGAACTAAATAATTACAAATTTTAAATTATGATAACTAAAATTTAATGATTAAATAGTTACAAATTTTAAAGGATGATAACTAAATTATTACCTATGTCAAAATTGTTACAAATTTTAAGTACAAAGACACTAAATTACAATTAAAATCTAGTAACTAAATTGATACTTACTCGTAATTTTTTACTTTTCCTTTCAATTCTTGTGTGGATTTTTTTTTTTAAAATTTATTTGACATTGATTTTGTTTGATCTTCTAATTGCATTTAAGCACTATAAAAAATAATTATTTATACATCTTTTATAATTAAAAAAATGACAAATTAATGTAAAAAAGAAACGTCAATAAAGGAAAATTATAAAATAAAAAAATAAAAAGCAAACTTGGATTGTCGATGAAGGAAGACCAAGGTGTGAAAGTAAAAATAAAAGTTGAATGGTTCAAATTTGATCACGTGGTTAATTTAGTCTTATAAAATTTATAATTTTATATTTTTGTATTCTCATGTTTATTTGAATAAACTAACAATAAAGTGTCTATTTTGGAAAACGTTTCAAAATTTACATAACTTTAACAAAATTGGACAGCTGAGGGAAAGAAAACAAAATTCTAACTCACCATACGTTATAAACCACCTGCAACAAAATGGACAATACGAATTTTACCCATCTTTAAAATCTACAACATCTTGTTTAGTTTGTTTGATAAAAAAAAAAAATGATCAGATTTGGACTCGGTAACCAACGTACAAAGGACCTGTAAAAGAAAATTAACACTCTGATGTTTAAGTCAGTACACAACTCAATCAATACTCAAACAATATTACTTCACGTATTTGCGTGAGAAACAGAGTTATCTATTTATAGAGACGAACTCCGACAGGACTTTCAATAACTTGATATCAAGTTGTCATGTCAGATAACACATATGTCATATTTGTGCTGCAAACACTCTTTAAAGTCGACTTGTACCTAGCATAGGTCGGTCAATAGACAAGATATAGATCAACTCGACTTTGGTTGTCGAGTTGCTTAAACTTGTTTCACACAAGTTTCTTATTTGATTCTCATAATCATCCCAACMGTTGATGATCTTTGTTGACACATGGTAGATGATAAATCGTTCTCCAACATAGTTAAACAACATGCAGAGTGGAGCTTCAAACTCTCAAACTTAACTAATTAAACTATGTTCAGATTTAAAATACATACCACCGATGATCTTTTTTTATAGCCATTAAAAAACGCACGGTTCCAATGCCACAACTCAACTAACAAAATGGAGTAGATCTAAGCATTCAAGCTAAGGTCCTATAAAACTCTTATTTGTCACCATGGAAAAATGGCCAAGTTTCAAGTTTGTGTCACAACCCATAAGCCATTTTTCCAAAACAAGTCCCAAGTTTTTTGTTTGTTTCGTCTAAGGCTTTTTCAAAAGAAGAGGATCCAAAACAGAGTGAAGTGAATAGAGAAGAAGCAACAAATAGAGTAAGAGGCCAAGGAAGGCCGCAGCCAGAGCTCCCGTCACTTGGCTGCAGTACTTCGCCACTTGGTCGCATATCGGAAGCCACCCTGCGTATGAGTTCCCATTCTTCCCAATTTGAGCCACCGCCATCGCCGCCGCAATACTCGAAGTCAGCAACATCGTCAATACCTGAAAACCCAACAAACCCATCTGAGTTTCACCCCAATTTCCACCAACGAAAACAGAGCTCTGTTTTGCCCTGTTTTTTGGCAGTTACCACGTCGAAACAGAGCACCAATCGCCAGAGCAAGCTCTCCTCCGGGAGAAAAAGGACAAGAAACCCATAAACGCTGGCCACGGCATTTGCAACCACGAAATACCTCGTGAAGAAGAAGAAAAAGGGTTCAAGCAGAAAGCAGGAACAAAGACAGGATTGAGCAAATTAGAGAGAATGCAAATATGAAATGTATTCTCACTTGAAGGATGGGGTGTGGGTGTATTTGGCCTCGAAGGACAGAGCGAAAAAGGTGGCCTCTTCGCGACTCGTGGCCATGACAATGGCGGCGGAGACGGTGGAGCCCAAGGCGAGAAGCCGCAGGAGGAGAAGGCAAATTCTCTTGGCAGTGGCCATGGAAATCAAATGGGGGGTTGCTGATTCTGCGAGCGGATCCTCTGTTTTTGGGAGAGATTTTAAAAGGGGTCTGTGAATTTTGGTTAGTTGAGAATTCTCATCTGTCATCACCGCCGTCCATTTCCATTGGGTGGAATTATTGAGGAAAATGGAGGACGAAGGTTGGTGAGCGGTGGCGTTTGTTCTTCGATTTGGGCCTTGGCTTCACTCCAGGTGAGATGGTTCTGTTCGGCTGTTTTTCACCTACTCCTACTAACAAAGAAGATTTTCTAATGTTGGGTCTGTTTCTAAAAATGTGTAAAAATATTAGACATATAATTGAAAAGTCTGGATCTTTTTTAGTACAAACATGTGGAGTGTGAGATCGAATTCACAAATTAATTACTGCTAGTTATGTTTGTTTTGACAAAAAGTTGTAATCTTATCAAATCTTGAATTGAATTTTTTTGTCTAATAAGACTTGAATTTTGTAAAATGTCAAATATGATAGATATCCACAAATTTGAAAATGTATAACACAACATTGAAAGTTTAGAAAATAGGCTTGTAATGTAACCTTACGCAATACATTTACATTTGATCTATAAATATTACAATTTACTTTTTAATATTTAAATTTTTAATAGACAGTAAAAACTAAACTGTTATAAAATTTAAATTAAAATAATTATATTTAATAACTAAATCATTACTTTACTTTCAAGTGTTTTAACATTTTGTTGATTTTTTCCCCCTAAAGATGTGGAGTCGGTCAATCTTCGACTTTGTTAGACATTCATTTAAATTTTGGCTTGAGTATTGGCATTTATGTGTTGGAATTTGTGTAATTGTATTGTTAGGCTGGTAGGTTTTTACCCGATTTGCACTATTTTGTTGGTTACTTCATTTTAGTTTTTTATTTTTTCACGATAAAAAGAARGTTATATTACATTATTTTTTAAAATATGATATATTGATTGTGTCAATTATGATTGAGCTAGTTTCAAGTTCAATATTGAATTTCGTAGAATTAACATTAATTATCCTAACTTCATATATATCCTTAGTCTACATGATGGTTTCTCTCTTACTTTATATATTATATATATATTTTTTTTATTGAAATAAGCAAATGTTCCCCATGAGTTATTACCATTATTCAAAATTTTCAGATTTGACTTTTTTTTTCCCTAAATACCATCACATCCCATTGATTTATATGATTTATATGTTTATTCTCTGTTTCACGACTGTATCTAATAAATTTTTGAATTTTAAATAATTTATAATTGAGGTAATAAATTTTAAATTGTGTGTCTAAGGTTTAAAAACTGCCTAATAAATCTATGAACTTTCAATTTTAAAGCTAATAAAGATCAGTCATATTAAAAAATTTTAAATTACAAATCTATATTAAACATAAAATTGAAAGTCCTAATTTTATAAGACACAAAATTCAATTTTGTGTTTAATAGTTTCTTGAATTTTATAAAATGTCAAATATTGCTAAGTACCTATTAAAATATACGTTAATTACCGTTGAACTAGCTATGGTCCTTTTGACCACTTAATATATAGATTAAAATTTAGAGACTTTTTATCCATTTTTTTAAAATTTAATTACCTATCAAACAAATATTGAAAGTTGATGGAGTAGACAAAAACAAACGAAGAAAAAAAAATCAATTTCAAATTTGTTCACTTAATTTATTGTTTTTCCTACCATAGTAAATGTCTTGGAATGAGGAAAGATCCCATGGTCAAGGGTCACACATGAATTCTTCCTTCAAACGTGGGGGCTTCAAACTTTAGTTTATCTAAATTATGATTTTAGTTTATTTATCTCACTAATTATAAGACATAAATTTAAGCTTGAAAAACTCGATTTTTACGATTAATCTAAATCCATATTATATAAATTCAAGCTTTCGAGATCCTTCTTTTTATCAATTCGAAATTATCTTTTTAGGTCCCCAATGGCTAAAGTTTTTACGAAGATATTCAAACTATGCCTTTTCCATAAAGATGCAAATGGTGGCCTATACTTTTTCTTGATGTTGGAGATGCCAACAATTTCTCCAAAGACGACCATTCAATTATAAATTTATAATTTCCATTTTATATATTCCCTCCCTCTCATCATATATACTTTCATATTTTTCACGCTAACTTTAATAATTGTTTTATCTTTAAAAATTAAAATCTAGATACTACTTTCATCCCGATATTTATTTGTTTTGTTATTTATAGTTTGAAAATATTTTTAAAACCCAAGCTAAATTTTAAAAATTAAAAAAAAAAATTTAAAGCAGGAGAAATGGCTTTGTACTGTAGCACTTTCGGATTGCCCAAACTTTTTTATGAAAAAAATAATAATAATAATAATAATAATAACTGAGGGAATTAATTATAAGACAGATGTACTTAGAGTTTTGTGGTGGTTGAAAAAACAACGTATTAAATTTCAATTGCTGGCAAATTGCAAGTTGTCAACTTAAATTTCCAACTCAGCCGTTCTTTGCCACGTGTTATTCCCACGATTCATGTCTCGGCCTAAAATTACCCAGCTGGCCATGAAACCACCATCACTAATTACTTCTATTACCAAATTACCCCCCTTCCTTAAATTACCAATCTGGACACTCTAATTTAATTTGATAAGGGATGATATTCTTTTTAATGGACAGAAAAATTTGTAATTTTGAGGTAACAAATTAAATATTATCCAAGGGCATGACCGTAAATTAGAGTAAGATAGAGGTATAGTTGCCGCGTAGGAATTTAATTGGGATATGACCACTCAATTCTAGCTTTCCCATTGCCATATAAATATGGCCTATGGGATTCGTTTGGTGCAATTTCCGCTCCACAGAAAGTCATTTTATTTTCCAGATTCCCGGAAAAAACGCCGCCCCAAATGAAGAAAACAGGGCTCTTCGCCGCCGCCGCCTCCGCCGCTGCTCTGTCTGCTCCGCCGTCCTCCGCCGGCTTCCCCAAGGCCAAAACTCAGCAGCAGGTACTTAATTTAATTCAATTAAAGATATGTTGGTTATCTGATGTGGAGAAGTGAATTTCCGATGTGGGAATTTCAGGAAAAGATTAGAGATGAGGAAATTAGTTCGTCGCGAAGATCTGATAATAAATTTGCTCCCAGGTTCGATGGGTTGCGATTCATTGAAACTTTGGTCACTGCTCATAGATGATGATAAGCTTTGGAGTTGGCGATTATATCCATCTTCTCTCCAANTTTTAATTTCTTTTTGTCTCTGTCTAATTATCCTCATAAGAAAAAAGAAAGAAAAAGAAAAAAACATGAATCACTGTGAGGGGAAGAGCCCAATTTGGTGTATTTTCCAATTTCATTTCCAAGTTGGTGTGGTGGGTTTCGTTTTTACTCCTTTTTTTCTTTAGCCTCTCCCTTACCTTTCAAATGTAATGTATTTTATTTATATTATATGGTCATTTATGGATATTTATGCAATATGACCAAAAATCATGATGTCACTATATACAAGGACAGGTCCACTTTGGTTTTTCAACTCGATCGGTTTATTAAGTGGATATTTTGATTGATTTTTTGATGTAATTCAACACCTCTCGAAAAGGGGAAATTGGGAAAGTCGTATATATTGTATATGGTGAGTAGAAAGTGGTTTCCAAAAAGTTTATAATTGCATCGTGGTGTGGTATCTTTTTCTTTGGGTTTCCACAAAAAAAGGCTTAGGCAAAAAGTAGCACAAAACTCCAGTCCTTTCCCGACTTTAAAATTGTATCTAATAGATCACGAAAGTTGTCGTATCGARGGTAAAGATTAAACTCGTAATTTAACGATTGGTTTTTTAAGTGTATTGTTGTTGAGTACAGTTCCTCTGTTTTGTCTTTTTTTCATCACCATTTTGTGGCTTTAAGTTGGGGACTCGGATTCAGATGCGATGAACTGTGGGGTCTCCATTAGCAAACAAAAGAAGGGGAGGAGAAGGAAAAAACAAGTCTTTGCCATATATAAAGCATCCATGTGACAAGCATTCACAGCAAACGAAAAAGGAAGAAATTAAAATCCGCAATTCAAAATTTTAGTTCTATCCATTTACAAATTACATGCAATTTGACGGAAATGGCCAATTGATGACATATATCATGTATATCTTTCTTTCTAACTAAACACATGTCATTGATTTAAAATATAAAATATTAAACATCTTTTCGTTTCTAACTTTATTAGGAGTGACAATTATTTATATTTATCGATTCTCATTTCTCATAAACTTTCTCTAAATTGTATATAAATTTTGGAAACGATCCAAACAAGTTTTTTTTTCCTATTTCTAATTTGTTCCAACACATCCATGGGTGTCAGGATCGCACAATTCTATTTTTCTTTATTAAACAAGAGAAACGAAAATTTTAAGACTCGTTAGATAACGTTTCCATTTCTTGTTGTTTGTTTCCTATTTTTTAATAAAGAAAAATAGAATTGCATGGTCCTAACCACTAAAGATTGAAGAATGATAGAACAAGATTTAAACTTGTTTTTTGTTGTTTCCAAAATTTCTATACAATTTTGAGAATATATTTCTAAAAAATTAAAACAAAAAACATAAACAGTTGTCCAATGCTTAGATTTGTTAATAAAATTAGAAATGGAAACCAAGCGACTCCTTGTCAAATAGACTCTAAATATCCTCCTTTTTCACTCTCCGTCCGAGTTAATTTCAATCTATAGTTTCTATGATTTGGACTTATGGTTTAGTAAATTCTCACATATTTATCTGATCCATCTAAAAATGCACTAACTTCCCTATATTTTTTACCACCTAACCTAATATAAAATAGCTGTTAAAAAATGCGTCTTACAAAACACAAGGTATAGATAGAAAACATGTCACATATTCAATGTATGGTAGCGAGACAGACAATTCGAAGAACGAAATACAAAATGAGAGTGGTTCTACAAGAAGAAATAGATGAGAGGAGGAAGGGCGAGGAGAGGGAGGGCGGCGGCGACGGCGGGAGGAGGAGAAGCAGAAGAAGAATTAGAAGTTTTGATGCCATCTTTCTCCTTCTGGGCAGCGATGGAGTCACAGGAAAGGCCATCTTTTCCATCTTTGCATTGGTTGGCGAACAGCCCAGGTGGGTACTGCCCGTACAGATTGATGTAGCTGAACATCGTCTCGGCGCAGTTGTTCGACATGTCGTTTAATTGATCCACAAAGTCGCAGCAGAATTCCAGCAGTGCGTTGCAGCAAACTGAGGGAGGGTAATTCGGTCCTTTGCACTTGCTTGTTATGATTGTGTAGTTCTTCCCCTCCATGTCTATGGGGCAATCTGTAAATCCATTTCTGTCGTCAGTAACTTTATGTTTCTTGTTTTAATAAGGTTTTTGTTTCTTATCAGTTTTGGCTTTTTTATTCTTAATTTTGATCTATTTTAATTTATATACATCCAAAAGGTTTGTTTCAATCTTTGGTTATTATATATAATAAAGAGTTCGCATGATGYGTAGAATTTCATTTTTTCTATTACAATTTCTAGTGCGACACTAGATTATAATAAAAAGTTTTCGTTAGGTRTAAAATTTATGTTAAAATTTTGCAGGAAAAGACTAAAATAATAACTTTTTTAAAATACAGAGAAATAAACATTTATAAAGTATAGTAACTAAAATGAACCAAAATAAGAAAAAAATATAAGAATCAAAATGAAAATGAAAATAAATGAGGTACAGAAACTCAGATAAACCAACAAAATAAAGCAGGTGTATCAAAACAGTATTTTAACCTGCAATTTAAAAAAAAGGATCATTTTGAAAGGACAACAAAATTATTTTTACATTTGAATTAAAACTAGATTTTGTTCCTTAAAAAGAGAGAAAAAAAAAGGTGTATTATTGTTTGTAAAATTTGTGATACAATTATGTGTAAATAAGGGTAATGGGTTACCTTTTTTAGCCTGAAGAAGGGAACGCAAGCGGCCGGCGCCGGAAAATTTGCCTGCTGTGAGCGCGTCGTCTGCCAAACGGCCAATCCAATCCAATCGAGATATATAAATTGAACAAAAATCAACGAAACTAAAAAAAAAGGAAAATAGAAATGAACAGAAATTATAATTACAGGAGAGGAAGGAGGAGGAGGAGGAGGCGGCGATGGCGATGAGGAGGAAGAGAAGGGCGAGACAGAAGAGGCAATGTTTATTGGACGACGACGGCAACGACGCCATTTTGTGTATTCTCCGGCGGCCGGTGGCGGTGGAGATTTGTGTGTCTCCGCCTTGGGAGGGATGGAAAGCAAAAATTTAATTGTGGGAATTTTGGAGGTTGAATAATGAACTGATTTTGTGAGGAAATGGATGGGGGAGAAACAGAGAAACAGAGGGGTTATGGTTAGGGATGGGAGGAGAGCCAAATTCTGCATGAAAAGTGGAGCCTTTTCCTTTCAAGCTGCCTTTTAAATTTAAAAGGGTCAACGTTATGAATCACTTTAGTCCAATCCTTTCTTTCTACGTTTTTCTTTTATTAAATTACAAGTGAAAATATCTCCTTATATTACCTGTAATCTTGGAGAAAGCGTTTAATGTACTAAAATTTGTCAGTGTTTATAGTCCTTTCAATAGGTAGGTAAGTTGTTTTATTGGTCTGTCATTTCTGTGTAGTCTGAAATAGTTGTTTTCCTCGTAGATTCTTATTGTGGTGTATTAAAATTTTAAATCTCATGAAAACAAATAAAATTTAATTTTTTTTTTTGAAGAATAAATAAAATTTATTATTTAAAGCTTGACTTCCAAAATAATAAAGTTACAAATAACTCTCCCCCATGTTTAATAAAGAAACTTACGATTTTAATTAAATAATAGAAAAACGAATTTTCTTAAATACTAAAACGTTACAACCTAGGTGATCTAGTACTTGTCGAATCCTTGCCCATTTATCATTGTCGATGGAAATGTAATCTTCTGGGTGAATATTGAATAGCACCGAATTTTGATGAAAAATATAAAGGGATTTTTTGGGGGTAAAATGTAAAGGGAACTTGAATAGGGTAGGTAAATTTTCTAATATATATAATATTTTTTAAAAATTATTATGTTTAGTTCCGTCGTTAGCCGCCATGTGTGTTCTAATCCATTGAATTTGTTTTGATGGTGGAGAATTAGCTCAAAAATAGTAATTTCCATTTAGTAGAAGGTATTAAGAGAGCATCACTTTTTGTACTTCAAGGTATGGAACCACCGAAGTAAAAATTTTAGGTACCATTCTCATCCTCTAAATTAAAATTAAAATAAATTTTTTTGTATGAAAATTTACTTTTTAAATTAAATATTAAAAAAAATTTATATATATATATATATATATATATATATATATATATATATATATATATATATATATACATGCAGGTAAGTCAAGAATAATAAAATAGTATTTTTATTTATATTTTAGAAAAAAAATTAGAAATAGATCCCGAAACAAGAAATTTTATTTTTGTTGTTTTCTACATCATTTTAGTAACAACATTCGCGTTCGTGATTATTGTATATTGTTGTTTTGACCCTTTAGTATATTAATATATAATTTTATTTAATTATTTTTTATAACACGAAATTTATAACTTCTTTAAATTTGTTCACAATTTATGTAATAAGCCATTAATTGGATGCAAGTTTTTATTTGAATTTCTTGCCACAATTCTAAGTTTTTGTGTCAAATGCATGGTGATAAGATTCCATTTCACCAAATCTTATCATTTTCTCTCTTCTATTCTAACATTCACTATAAAATCAATTATTTTTAAAGAAATTAAAAGGCCACTAAAAACAACAAAACAAATGGGTGATAATAATTTAAGCTTCTAATTTTCTTTCTATTTTAATTTGGAGCAATTCAAAAGTCAACTTACTAACCCAAATTTCTGACTGTTTCACACTGAATAATTGAGTGTTGAGGCATACCACTTATATATGTACAAATTTAAGTTACCTCTTCTTTATAATTAAAGATTTAGGAGTTGACTTTTCTCTCTTTTTAAGTTGTTACGAATACGACAACGATCATTAATCAATGGTTCATAAATTTTTTGGTCGGTCAACGTACCGATAGTGGTTGATAATCAATCTTTTCCACACAAATTGTCAAGTGGGAGTCTAAGGTGCATACATTTTTTTTAATTTATATATATATATATATATATATATATATATATATACACATTGAATAATCAAAATAATATGATGTGGAGATTTGAACCTCCGATCTCGAATAAATGAGTTTTTTGTCTTTATCGTTGAGTTTTGTTTATGTTGACAAATGTTCTCAAATTCCTTATATATGTAAGGTTCTTCTAGACCATATTTTAATATTCGATTTTTTTTTGTATATTAGATAGATACATCATATGAGTTATTTTTTTAATTCAAGGCAAAGTGTGTGAATTAAGGTCAAAATTGAACACTCGTGGAGGCATTGTCCCTAAATTTTAAAGAAGCCATATTTTAATTTTTGAGATTTAAAAAACAGTTTTAGTTGATTTATGAATTCATTTTTATTTTGTTAGCGATGACCAAATAAGTTAAATAATAATGCAAACTTTATGAGAATTAATATAAAATAGCGAAACTTATTACCTACGTCACGTGAAATTTATATATTCTAGTCATAGATATCATCATTTTACTTGGTCGATTAAATTTTTTGAATTTATTAATAACCGAAAGATGCATATATACTAATTCGAAGTGTGAATTATTTTTTAAGTTATAAAAGATTAATTAAAATGGCATTTGTTAAAATAATGTAGTTAAATGTATAATTTTGAAAATAATAGAAATGGAAAAAACAAAAAATCAAAGTCAACGTCACAGATAATAAATAATAAGACTTTATAATACTTTTGATCTTATTAAGAATTAACATTTGTCTAGAAAAATACGAGCAGTTAGATGACTCCAATAATCTCTAACCATGGTTCAAATAATACCAAGTTTCTAGAGACATATTGAATTGTCCTGGCCAACTGCAATTTTCTTTTTCATTATTATAATAAAAGCTCCCATAATTAATTTAAAACTATTTCATTAAAATTAATATCCTTGAGTAAAATAATTGGTCAATAGCAATAGCATAATTATATATCGCAAATCTGTTCAATCAGTTAAGACATCTATTTCTGATCAAAATATTGCGTGTTCGAATCTCCACCCAAATATATTTAAAACAAAACACAATTATATATATTATAGGTTTAAATGTTATTTTAGTCCTTACATTTTTAGGTATATTCCATTTTATCTCTTTAGAAATATTATTTTGGTATTTCAATCAAAATGATTTAATTTCTAAATTTTAATAAAATAATCATTTTTATTCCTACAGTTATTTTATTGGCTTAATAAACTTGGCAAATACCTGACTCAAATAATATATATGACTTTAATATATGTTCACTATTGGACGAGAAATTTAAATAGGAGAAAACTCGAATTGATGAACTTGAAGTCGGGTCTTCTTTTTAGGGCAATAAAAAAAAGGGCTTAAATGAAAGGGGCGGCAAGAGTCTTTCACAAACTCGAGTTCAAGACCTCYGATTCAAATCCGATCGACTAGATCCGATCACATGATCAAGGAACTATTCATGAAGAAGAAGTTCCAGCCAATTTCKATTTCGATTTTTTTAATGTGGGCCTTATTTCTAAATTTGTGTTTATGTATGTGGGTGTTACAATCTCTAATGTATAATCTTCTGATTAATTCTCAGCTTCTTGCTTGTTAAAGGATCTTTGAAGTCTTCGGTTTTGAGCTTGTTGAATTCAACAAGCTCAAAGCCGAAGACTTTGACTTGTTGATGAAGATTTTGTGAGGTCTTCGACTTTGAGCTTATTGAATAATCTTTGAAGTCTTGGGTTTGCGCTCGTAAAGTTCTTCGACTTTGCAACTTGTGAAGTGCTTCAGCTTTATAGCTTGTGAAGTGSTTTACAATGTTCTTGAAGTCTCGTACTCTGAATCTCCAATTCTTCTTTATCTCTTCCAGTCTTTCTCCTTATCTCCTTTCTTCTAGCTCTTCTTATTCCTTCTGGTCTTCTTCCCCCCTAGTGACCCCTCTATTTATAGAGTCTTATATGGGTCATGGACTTAATGGGCCACGGGCTTGAGTCTAGCCTCTTCATGAGTTTTGATCTAATTAGTTGATTTCATCGGACGGCAGACACGTTGTATGATTTGATTCATTGATTTTAAAATTAATTTAGGACACGTGTAATTTTATCATTAGTCCTAAATATATTTGAAATGTGTGACGTGACCTTTAGTAATTAGCCGAAATTTCTCCTTCAACATTCACATTAACACATATTCAAACGTCAATAATATATTATTTATTTCTTAAATCATTAACATGGTTAATGGCAAAATAACAACCCGAACTAAAATAATTATTTTATTAAAATTAATGGAATAAAATAAAACGAGTCTGAAAATTTTAAAACTAAAATATACCTTTAAAAAATGCGGAAAAAAAGTGGAATAGTTTAAATAGTTTTGAATTCAAATAGAATTTAGGTTGAAATATTATTTTGGTTCCCTACTTTCGGTTTTGGTTCAATTTGGTCATTATATTTTCAAAATGTCTATTTTAGTCAATGTACTTTAAAAATGTCAATTTTGGTCCCTAAACTTTTAAATTTTGTTTATTTTAATCGTTGTATTTTATAAACGTTCATTTTAGTCTTTATATACTTTTAAAAAGGGATCAATTTGATTTCTATTAACAAAATTTTATACACAATGAAAATCCTTTAATACAAATTTATGACTAAAAATGAGATAAAAATAGAAATATGATGATAAGAATAGTCATTTTTTAAATTACATAGATCAAAATGTACACTCTAGAATTATTGAGATCAAAATAAAAAAAATAAAAAGTTGAAAATACATCGATTAAAATAATCTATATCTTTTTAAAACCATAGAGACCAAAATAAACTTAAAAAAAAAACAACGATCTAAATCCATTATAAATAAATATATACATATAAAATTTATAACCCATATATATTGTGTGGCCCACAGAACGTGGGTGAGAGGATGCAGATTATAGAATATGATTTTACTATTTCAATAAATAAAATTGTCCCAATCTTTTATCAAAAAATAAAAATAAATGTCCCAATCTAGCACTGAGAGGCCACATCCGTAAATTACTGCTGCCCACAGCCCTCGTATTTACTAATCTACCCCCACAAATAATTTTATTCTTTTTATGTTCAACATCACAAATAAAAATAGGAAAATTCCTAAGTCTTATAAAAATGAAAAAAACAGGGTTTTCTTATTATTATGAGCAAATCAATGATATAATATAATACAAAGAGTAAGTATCTAGTAACCCTTCCTTAATTTCCTTAAATAATTAAATAACCCTTTCTTAATGTTAGACAGCAAGTTGCACTTAACTTAGTAACAATTTATTCAAAATTAAATCCCCATATTTATTATGATTCTTGAACAAAGAAAATTTTAGCAACATCAACTAGTACTCACAACACAATTTTCATGGTGGAATCCGTCTTGCAACTAAAATAAAGAATTTCATATGCAGTATTATTCATAATGCGTTCTCGATACGAAAGAACTTATAAATATAATATTTTAGGGTGCGTTGGAAAATGTTAATATAATTAGTGATTTTGAAAAAATATATTTAAGTGTAATTAATTTTTCAAAATTACCATCTAAATCATACGATTTAAAACTTTCCTAAACATATGATTTTGAGAATGACAGAAAGTGATCCAAATACACCATACCATAAATCTAGATTACTCTATTTCTGTAGTTCAAGTTGGAGTTTACTCGTATTTAATAGAGTTAACTTAAAAAAATACATCTTAAAAATAATCATTATAATTTTTAGATTCGCAATTAAACTTTTTATTTTTTATTTTTTTTATGACATGTTCCTAATAAATATTTCTTATTCATAATCGGAGTAATTACAATATTGGCAAAGAAATTAAAAATGAAACAATAGGCTGTTTGCTAATAATTAAAATCGTAAACTTATTATCAAATAAAAAGAATCAACGGTCAATTTATTTATTTTTTAAGATGGAAACTCCATAAAGAATATAATAGTAAGAAGAAAATTATTGGGTTGGACCATTTTCTCAATTGGGCAAGGAAAGTTCACATCATAATTTTGAGGAAATTTTAGGGTTAATTAATAATAACGCTTTGAAAATAGGCCATTTTTATTTGGGATTGGAAAAGAATGCCATTTAGATTGAGAATTGTATGCATATCTTCTAGAAACCCATTATTTTTATTAATTATTAAATACCTTATGCTCTTTCATCATTGGCTTTACTTGGCTTTTGAAATTTATTTATTTCCTTTTTTTTTAAATATCATATCAATATTGATGATATTTAATACCTCAATTTTATATMTTTGATAATTAAATTACCTAACATCTTTTAATTTCAACGATACTAGGAAGTGATGTATCTGAAACTTACATTGTTCTGACTACAAATCAAACAAAAAGTCAGGACTAAATACTCGAGTACAATCTATAATTTGTGATTTATTTTTTGGAATGTAATTGGGCTACTTGTTGTGGGTGTTAGACACTGTTTAGTCAATTCTAATTCAAAAATTAATTTAAGATTAAAATTAAAACATACAATACAAAAATGTAATTAAATTTATTTTTAGTATTGTGAAGAAAAACAGAGGACCACTTCTAAGAAGATTATGGTATAATTCACTTACTTTTATTAGCTTTCCTTTTTTTTTYYKKTTTTTTTTTCAAGAAAAGGTATTACAAACAATGCACATGGTCCCTTTTGCAAAATAATTGCTCTTATTCTCGTAATTTTTTAAAGAAATATTTGTAAYGTTGATACTCATTRAATTTATTAGAAGGATAGTTTACTCAAATTTACGTCTCAACAGTAATTAATACATATTATTAAGACTAAATTTATTTTTGTTAAATTTCATTGTGTTTGTATTTTCATGAGTAAAATAAATAAAAACTTCTCTTAGGAGTACACAATAAAACATATATTACTTAATTTCAACATACATAGTTGAATCTTCTAGAAGGGATCAACATCAGTAATTAAAAAAATAAAAAATAAAAAAGTAATCTTCTAGAGACCAGAACCCAATATTTATTTGGTGAGGCTAATTTACCATTTTCTCCCATTTCTCAATCAAATGAAGAAAAAAAAAAAAGAAAAAAGAATCATAATTTCTTATTTAACTTTCTTATAGAGTCAAATTCGAATTATTACCCAATTAATGATGATTTGATCTTAAATAGGCACTTTCAACAATTAAAAAGAAAAAAATCAAAAGCTGTGAGAAATAATCCAAACCTAACCTAACCATCATTATTATATTTTTATCTTCAAAGTTTTGTGTAAGAAAAAAATAATAAAAATATTAACAGATTCGAACCAAGTTCATTTCAAGAAAACAATTATAATTTTTTTTCTTGAACGATATATATATATATATATATATATATATATATATATATTGCTTAATAATATTAGAGAAGAAAAATTATCTTCTTGTTTGACTACTGCAGTTTTAATATTGGGGAGTGGTCTTCAAGTTTGAAAAAAATGTCTTCACTCAATAAATACAAGACAATAGTAATGATATTAAACATTATTTAAATTTCATAATACTGAAAATTCAAAATTAAATGGATTAAAATAAGTTAAAAGATGAAGAATTGTACAAGGGTTGGTTAAATCTGGAGGGAAGGGCTGGGATAGTGACACGTAGCAGTGAGATTTTTCGATTTTATTTTTCTTTATTGGAAAATTAAAATAACAGAAAAATGGTTCTTTTGGGAGTTAGCGCCTTTATATAACTCTGCCTCAAAAATTTTCTTTCCTCTCAAACTTCACGCTCTCCAACGTATTCTTATTCTTCTTCTTCTTCAATCTAATTTTTCTTACAGTTTTCTCTGTTTTTTTGATTGATTGCGATACTTTTTCATTGGATCTCTGCGATTTAGCGGCCGGAAGTTTCGTTTCCCCAAATCTTACAAATATCCAGTTACTTGGAACGTTCTTCTCAACTCCAGTGCGTCTTCTGAATCGAATCGACTGATTCCTGGTCTCAAATTTTGGTACGTTTGGAGCTTCAGAATCTGGAATGTTGAGCTTGCTTTTTCTTGTTCTTCTGTGAAACAATCATGGCAGATTCTTGATCGAAAAGGGTTTTTTCCTTAACTTATTGAACAGACCGGGCTATGGCTTGGAAATAAAGTTGGTTTCGTAGTTTTCGTTCTGAATTTCTAGTACTTTTTCTTCGAAAGAGAATTGAATGACTCGGAGTTCTTACAGGACCTTTGAATTTAACATCGATATAGATTTAGCGTTCTATTTGATTGTTTGCTTGATTTCTCTGTGATTTGTCTGTGAAATTCATTTTAGGTTGTTGGAGATCTTTCAGAAACCGGGCTTCAGATAAGGAATTTCCAAATTAGGATTAATTTAATGTAACGTTACGAATTATGCCTGTTTCTGAAGAAAATATTGTTTGGAGGTTGAATCTAATAAAGGCAGTTGCCCAGATGATGAAGAGTTCTTATCTCATGTCTTTATCAGCTGACTCATGCGTGTATTCAAGAATTAGCTTGAGCTGACACTACCATGTTTCTTTATTTAATTTTTCAATTAATTAACATTCGGGATAACTCAAAACATTTTTTTATGTTGCATCTGGATTTTGAGAGTTTCAACCCAAATATCTTTCTAGAAGGTCAACTTGCAAATAAGATTTAAATATTTGATTGGGCTTTCGCGTTAACTAGTCTGCAGGCAGAAGAATTAACCATGGGTTTGTCTTTATAATATTCTAATTTCTAAAAAGTATTATAACTTTAGCTTTTATCTCCTCGATCTCATCTTTTCTTGAGCTTCAAGTATTCATTTTTGTGAAAAGAAGAGAGGGATTCAAAACAAGTTCATCTTCTTCATGTACATATTGACTCATCATCTTTGTTATTCTGTTTCATTTATGCTTTCTCTGTTTCTTCAATTATCTGGTCGTTCTTTAATGTAGTAGTTTTCTGGGTTATGATCCAATATTGATCTAAAAATTTCAAAATTGTGATTTGGCAGTTTGGGAATCTCATAAGGGTGTTGTAACATAACAACAGAGCATATGGACATGGAGCAATACTTTGAGGAGGCCAGTTTGCAGATTAATACCTTTGGAGAGAACAAGTCTTCTCTGGAAAATTGGAAGTCTGTTTTGGATGCCATGGCAGAAACTCATTGTGACACCTCTGGGCTCTTCGACTGTAACATATGCTTAGAGACTGTGAAAGATCCTGTCGTTACACTTTGTGGCCATCTCTTTTGCTGGCCCTGCATTTATAAATGGCTTCATTTTCAGGACAGCTCTACAGAAAAACAAGGCCAGCAACCTCAGCAATGTCCTGTTTGTAAGGCAGAAGTTTCTGATGCTACTCTAGTCCCACTCTATGGCAAAGGTGAAACTCAAGATCCTTTCGAAAGCAAGAATTCGCAGCTTGGAGTCGTCGTCCCTCGCAGGCCTCAGGGTCCTGGTTGCTCTGAGACATCAAGGCCTACCTCTCACTCAGCTCCTCAATTTCGGCGGGGAAATTCTTCTGATCAATCATCAAACAATTACTATGCTCAGATGACAGGAGTGTTTGGAGAGATGATTTACGCAAGAATGTTTGGTGCAATAACGAATCACTATGCATATCCCAACTCATACCCTCTTGTGTGGAGCAGTAGTCCTAGGATCAGAAGGCATATTTTGGCGACCGATGAATCACTCAACAGAATCTGTATTTTCCTTTTCTGTTTCTCAATTATCTGTCTTCTTTTGTTCTGAACCATAGATTTTCATACTACTCCCTGAGCCACTGTATAAAAATTTTGAGCTGAAGAACGCTACATGATGTGCGGATTCAGTCTGGTGTAGGGTGTGGGCTGAGTGTTGGTGGCTATGTTGCCCCTTTCTCCCCCTTGTTCTGCAGTTCATGTATATAAGAATTTTGCTTACAGCCCTTCTGTATGGCTTCTACTTTTATTACATAGTTCACTCTTACACACAAAACAGGAAAAACGTAGCCAATTTTCTTGAAATCAGTTCAAGATTTTGCATTGCATTCATCACAGTTTTTATTAAATTATGATCTTTCAAAATAAATTTACAAAATTGAGTGGTTTTGTCCAGCAAACTGTAATGGGTTCGCTTACAAAACGACTAAAACCTTTATTTCCTTCCAACCTTAGAATTTCGCAATTTGTAGAACATGTTTCAAATAAACTATATGTTAAGACCTCATATCAATCAGAAGAGGAGAAAATCGTATGATAGGGTAGATTCTTAATAAATATATTGGAGATTATTAATAAACATTTCTGCTAAAAGCTGTSGAAATGAGTCAGTTCAATGTCGGTTCTGGTTAACCAAAATTAAGATTAAAAATTTAACCGACCACCCAATCAAAATCTAAATTTTGTAGATACAAATTCCCTGTACTCTGACTATTAGCAGATGATAAGATTTTATAAACTACTAAATCCAAATATCTGGGCATTTCAAGAAAATTGCAAAACATTAATACCGTACTATAAAAAAAAGAAATGGTGAGAAGAAAAAAGCTTCACATACTATCAGAAGTCTCTTCATACTTTACCTCAGCTATGTCGAGCTTGTTCCGATCAGACGCATGATTGTGTCTCTCAATCTGACCATCCAGCCCAAGCTGATCAAGGGCACTTGAAGTTTGGATTTCACTGTGAACATAATCTACTAATCCATCGCAAATACGAATGGAAACAATGTCGTGTTTTCTAAGGAGCCTTATGATTTCCTCTGCAACCTCCACATTTTCATTTGTTTTCAAAAATTCAAGACATGCAGCCAAAGTATGGTCATTAGGCTTCCATCCTGGTTGACTAGCTGAAATCGCTTTCTTAATAGTTTCCACTGCCTTCATTGTCTGACCATTAGCATGATATCCAGTCGCTAGTCGATCCCAAGTATTTGCTTGTGGTTCCTTGCCACTCTCCATAAGCCTGCTTATATATGCTTCTGCCTTGTCCACAAGTCCCTTCCTACAATAAATATTTATCATCATGTTTGGAATTTTAAAGTCAAAACATGTATCTCCTGATTCCCATTCCTTCAAGATTTTCTCAGCACCCTCAATATCATCCAGTTTCATCAGCGAACTTATTATACAAAGATATGCCGTATTGTATCTTCTTTTCAGATTAGTGTACAAGTTCCAAACCCGATACACCTCGGCCTTATTCCCAATCGCAGCATACAACGTAATGAGACATTCATATGCAAACCACTTTTGCTTATCACCAATGAGTTGCTCTGATCTCTTCAGCATCATTATACTCTTTTCAGAAAGACCAGCTTTGAAGTATCCATTTGCTACAACATAATAAGCGTGCCAGTCCATGGTAATTAGTCGATCAGCCTCCATCTTCAACAAAAGCTTTTCCATATTTGTTATATTTGAAGTAGCTGCGTGAGCATTCATTCGAATGTTATATGTAAATCTATCATGAGCGATTCCCATCTCTTCCATCTCTTCCATTAATGCATCTAGTTTCTCATGTTTACCCAGATGAGCATAAAGGCTTAACATAACATTAAAGGACAGTGGAGTTTTCATAAATCCTAATTCCCTCATCTTCTGCATGATTTCCTCTGCCTTCTCCAAATCTCTATCCTCCACATAACAGTTTAGAAGCGCTCCATAGACCCTATAATCTCTTGAAGATTCGTTGATGCTGCTAAAATACTTCTCTGCTTGTTCCAAACCATAAACTTTTGAAATTAAGTGCAACCGAATAGCAATGTCCCCAGGCGATGGATCATGGTTCATTTCATTACTTATCCATTCACACAACTGTCGCAACATAGTAATCATAGTGTCAATTTGTGGATAACTACTTCTATAGTTTACCATACATAGATGATCCAATTTTGAAGCTTTAGTACAAGTGAAGAAGGCAAGCGAAAAAGGAAAGATGGTCACATCACAAGGAACCAGGCAAGGTAATGAAAATAGTGACTGAAGATGCTTTGCTAATGGTGTCCTTAATTGTGGTCAAAAGCAAGCTGGAGAAGTTTAAACATACAAAATGGCTAACTAAACTAAAAGCTCACACAACAGAAACACTTCGACTATTGTGATAGATCATGAAGAGTAATTGCCCTCAACAATGATGCATCTTATTGTTGTTTAAATGCATATATGCTTCTTATTATTGGGTCAAAAAAGAGTTTTCCTCAGCAAGTTGATCGCTTAAACTTACTCAACTTCCAAGCTCCACCAAAATTTCCATTCATAACGATCCCCAGAAATGTGGGTTTCCATTTCCAATTAATCCATAATGTATAGTGGTATATACCACTAAATGAAGTTTTAAACGTCATCCGTTTCCTCTCTTCAACTGAACACTAGTTACAATATGAAAGGGCCAAGTAGCAAGCAACAATGGCAGGAATTTCATCAGAAGTGGGTACCTACCTGGAGAGCATGGTTGAAGCGACGGAACTTCCTGAGCTGCTTGATAAGCTTTTGGAGGTCAGATATCTTGACTAGTCGGCCTTCTTCGACCCACTGGTCCAGAACGCGACGAATGGAGATTCGAGGATCGCCTGCCTGAGAAACCCTTCGGTACAGAGAATCCTCAGGGCTTGGGGAAGAAGTTAAGGCTTTCGTTGAGTAGAATAGAGCCCGGAAAGCCTTGGAAGTGCAGCAACCCCGCCATGGCTGCGAGCAATGGAGCTTCATCATGGCCAGACTCAGCTCTCGAGAGTCGTCGGAAAGTTTTATCAGAGGGTTTGCAACTGCAACTTAGATGGTTCCATGGGCCTTCTCGGGCCCATCAACTCCAACTTTTATTAGTCTTTTCCGAAAGAAATTAGAGTTTAGTCCTTCAAATTATAAAATTTAGGGATTGATATGCGATCCTAATTAYATAAAAGCATGTATGGAATTTACACATTTGTCATGTATTAACCCGGATCATATAAATTACTTAAATAGCTTATATTTACAAATTAATTTTAAATTCATTTTAATATGCAAAATTGATTAATTGGAAGGTTATAATTTAGATCCCATAATTTTAGGTTAACGATACTTTCCAAAACAAATTAAAACACCAAAACATTAAAAACAAAACCCTAGATTCCCTAAAATTGAAATCATAACCTCCCAAAATATCTCTAAATCCCGTCCAAAAATCTCTCAAATTCAAAATCGAGAACTTTTTTTCGCTTCATCCATGAGACGTTTAAAACTTAAATTTTGGAGAACCATTTCTATATTACTATAGAATATATGCGTTTATATGATAATTTTTTTTAGAGAAATGGTTTTCTCYGCTATTTGAAGAATTTCGTTTGCATCTTTTGACGCATGTTCTTTGTAAAGCCAAATCTGGTTTGCGCAATATTCTAATCTCACCATCCATTATTCGAGTTTCAATACAATGATCGTCAAAATTCATTCGAAATCCCATATCGCTAATAGCTTGATGAAACTTAAGGTACCACTATCGGGAAGACAGTTTCAAGTCATATAAAGAAAGACTTTCTTAGCTTGCAAACCTTATCTTCTTCTTATATACAGCTATAATATATATACACATATACAATATATACCTATATATACGAATATAATCAGGAATACTAAGAATATGAAACAATTAGAACTTCAATTTTCTATACACATAAACAAAATATATCCTCATATATACCAAGGAAGACTAATAATTACAAATGGTATGGAGGACCCTTTCTACAGAAGTATAAGGTATATGTATATATTCACATATACAATATATACCTATATATACGAATATAATAAGGAWTTAAGGATTCCAATCTTTAAAATTTAAAAATTRTAATAAAATAAAAAACAATAAATAAGGGTAGAAACGGTACTAAAATAAAATCCTAATTGCAAATATCTAAAAGTGTAAATTTTGAAAACTAAAGACATTTATGTAATTAAGATTTCAAAATAGCACTCCCAACATATTATCTCTGAAATTTATAACAAGTCCTTGATTCATGATATATTTAAAATATTATTAAATTGTGTGTATAATAAAATTCTAAATTTTCACTAATAAATAATACTACATCTAACGTCTTGTAGAATAGCGTTGTGAGACACTCAATCATGTCCAAAATGGAGGAATAGATTTTATACAACTATCTACTTTCTTTTTTAGTCAAAGCGAACATCAATTAATTGACATATATTTTCAATCGAGAGGTTGTGAATTCAACGTCCTATTTCACATCAATTGTACTAATATATATACACTTTCTCTTGTCATTTGTATAGTATACCAAATTAGTTCATATTTGACTAACAAACATGTCATACYATCGTTTAGTTAACAAAATGAACGGTAGGAACGATGTAAAATCACACATTGAAAGTTTAAAGGTTAAAATGTGTAAGTCTCCCGTTGCTGAGCCCAAGAAAAGAGAGCCTTGATTATAGAGATTCAGAAATTAAAAAATAAAAAAACTAAAGCTTTAAAATTGCTAACAGAGGAATAAKCTTGGCAATGCACTCTCGAGTCTCAGATACAAGCATCTTCCTTCTACATTATCTCTTGAGATATAAATAAAGAACCAGGTTGAGATGAACAGACAGAAAAATTGGCTACATGACATTTTCTTTTCTGATCCTGCAGTTCATCTATAGGCATTGTAAGACTACAAGTTCGTCTTAGTTGTTCCCATGATTTTGTCTATTTCTTCGTCGGCTGAAAAACCATCCATCTTCATCTGGTCAAGAATGTTGAGAACTGGTTTTCCACATGCGATGGAAGTTCTCAGCAATCTATAGTACGTCTCCTTCGTTATTGTACCCGAGCTTTTGCATAATTGTATTAATTCCTCCATTGTTTCTGCATCTCCTCGTTCTTCCAAGTACTCTAAACACGATTCCAAAGTGTCSAGGTTTGGTTTCCAATCTTGCCTTCCGACTAGCATAGCTTTCTTTAACATCTCAACTGCTTTGCTCATGAGTCTGTGTTCCGCATATCCCATGGCTAACACACTCCAAGTGCTGGCGTATGGGGTTCTTCCTACAACCGCTCGGTTAACAGCCAATTCTGCCTTGTCGAAAAGACCTTTCCTGCAATAAGCAACCAGAAGTCGATTTAAGACTCGAAAGTCATAGCCAGTGMACTGTGATTCCCACTCCTGGAAGATCCTTTCAGCCCCTTCAACATCATCAAGCTTTGCAAGAGATGTGATCATTAACGCATATGGCACATCCATTTGTCTGATTGATGGCTTGAAGGTACTCCAAACTCTGTAAAGWTCATCCTTCCGACCCGTTCTCTCGTAAAGCGAGAGAAGAAACTCGAACGCAGATTTATTTTGATAAGGTGGAATCCTCTCCTCCATTTTCTTCAGCATGGAGAGAGCCTCTGTCTCCAACCCAGCTGATAGATAACCACTGGCAGCAATTGAATAAACTCTCCAATCAGCATTGAATTGTGAATCCTCCTCGATCCTTTTCAGGATCTTTTCCATACCAGAAATATCCGACTTAGAAACATAAGCTGCACAAAGATTTCTAACTGTGTAAATATCTTCAGCTATTCCCTTCGTTTCCATTTCTTGAATCAGTAGATCAATCTTATCGTGCTGTCCGATCTGCGCRTAGAGGTTAATTAGCACGTTGTAAGGAAACGTCGAAGTAGCAATACCCATCTGTCTCATTTCTTGCATAATGGCTTCAGCCTTCTCAACTGATCCCTCTCGCACATAACTACAGAGAAGAGCACCATAAGTATTAGAAGCTTTCAACCGAGAAGATATACTATTGAAGTAATGTTCTGCGTGTTCCAGACCGTGAACTCTGCGGATTAAATCCAGCCTCATTGCTACATCGCTCGACGATAGACTGAAGTACCTCCGATCGGTCATCCACTGAGATATCTGCACAAAAAGAAAGGATGAAACGTAGAACTGTTTGAAAACTGTTCTAATTTCTCATGTTTTCTTTCCAGTAGTTGAAGTAGTTTTCCTTTCAAAATCAAATATTAATGACTAGTTATTACAATATCCTTACAAGTCAGTCCAATCACAAATCTCACAAATCTTTATACGCAGTCATGAAAGCAGAAACAAACAATTTCTAAACAAGCTTTTAGGAAMTTCACTGTACGGACCCATTTTCCGAAATTAGGGCAAGAAAAGATATCAAACTGCTACAAATTAATTTCAGAGAGAAGACAAAAGATAATTGACGTTTCATTTCTGAAATCAGCTTGTTGGTTTTACCTAATGGAGAAKGCTATAGTTACAATGCTTCTAGTATTTCGTAATAGACGAACAAAGAAGAATACTATTTCGTAAAGAAATTTGAAATCGAGGACAAATTAGAGGAAGTGAGAACCTGTAAAGCGTGATTAAAGCGGCGAAAGCTCTTCATGAGGCGAACCAGCGATTGAAGTTCCTGCTTCCCAAYCGCTCCGCCATCGCCGACCCACTTCTCCAGCACCGGAACAGCAGAGATTTTCGGGTCTCGGACGGCTAAGATTTTGTCGAGAAGTGAAGATGGAGTCGGCGAAGCGGAAGAGAAGCGCGGGGAAAGAGATTCAGTACAGAAAAGTGAAGCGAATGCCATGGAATTGGATTGCTGAGAGCTCCGAAGCAGATTGGTAAAAAGCTTATTCCAATTAAGAAGCTTCATCATCTTCCTCTTGGTAGTTGATCGGAAAACGGAACTCACAGTTCCAATCGTCGATAACAGAGTTTCAGAGATGGAAATCAAGTTCGTCGTTCGATTCTGGGCGCAATTTTAAGGGAAGGGCATAAATGCAATGTAAGCTGAGGGAGAGGGATTACTTTCCAAATTCTATATTTTGGAATTTCTCCTATAGCGCCCTCGATTTTCGAAATATATAAATTTGCCCCACTTATTTCATAAAATAATAAATTACATAATCAATTTCGTCGATTAATTTTGYCTTTTCCGTGCACATTATTTAAGATAAAAAAAACCCAAAATCCAGAATCCGAATGGAGGGTTGGGAATCTCAGTATCATATCATTACTGTAATTTCGATTCCTTTGAAGAATTTTCGGAATTTGACGAACTTTGTTTATTCGGTTCATCCAACAGCGTGCAATCTTATAAACAAAAATATAACACAATAAAAGAAGAAGAAGGAAGTCGAGATTTAAGATGAAGAAACCCAGCGATGAACACAGCGAGAACGAGAACAAGAAAGGAAAATAAAGAATTAATGGCGAATCCGGAGAAAAATTAGGGCAAGTAAGAATCCAGAAAGCAAACAAGAAAGCATTGGAACAACAAATTGAAGCTAGAAGAAGAGAAGGAAACCCTAAATTATACAACAGAAGAAGAATGAGAGATGATTATCATAAGAAAAGAAACTAGGTTTCATCGTCCGGTTGAGGATTCAGCGTTTGAAGTGCTTGAGTTTGTGCCAGCCTTTCTTGCAAGTTTCTTCGACGATCTTGGCTCCCTTCTTGAAGAATTTCTTCAATTCCGTGGCCCTCTCCTTCACCTGCTTCTCGAATCCACCCATTGTTCTTCCTCTACAAAAATGGAGTCCACAGAGTGGGAGATTTTTAAGTCCGTTTCTGCCTTTTCCAAGGATTCCGCGCCGCTGCTGCTCTTTTTATATAATAACTTTTTAACACGCAACAGATTCTTGGATTTTTTACTATTATCTATTAAACCTTTTTTCCTTAATTTATAAAGATTAAACTAGAAAAATAGTCTTGATCTTTGCTCTTTTATTTCACAAATATCTCTTCAAATTTTCAATACTATCCTTATTTYTCATAAAGATTTAAAAAATATTGTAAATTATCAATTAGTATTTTGAACGAGAATTGATATGGCRGAAACAATTAAAGTAGAAGTTCTGACYAATTTTATCCTAAAAATATTCTTTCTTCAAATGTTAACCGATTGTCTACCCAGATTTATCCTAATCCCCTCCTAAAGAAACCGGCTTCTTCTAAATTTATTTTTTATCAAAATTTAACCCAAGCTAGCTTTTATATTAATTGTCACATTGTTATTCCAGTTTCTACCCGTTTGCCTTTCAAACCAATATTCCAAAACATTTTTAATGAGAATTCAAAGCTAACAGATAGAAATAAATACCTTAACCAATCGAACTATGTTGGATTTTTTCTTAGCTCTGGGACGAGGTGGCAGGCATGAAGGGGTGGGATATATTCTGAAGACTGAGAAAGCTGACAGGAGAAGCAAAGACAGACAAAAGAAACAGCTTTCTGAATGGACCACTGTGGCTGCCAACGCAACTTTCAAAATTCTCTTCAATTCAAATTTAAAAACATCTCTCTTTCAACTTTTTGTTTTACAACCGCCGTGGAATTCGGAATCCAGCCCCAATTTCAACCGGAGATAACGGTGCTTTGATCGCCTCCGCCACCGCCGCCCACTTTCTGCAACCAACGGAATAATATTATTTGCCCAGCCTAATAACCTTTTTTTTTTTACACGTGGGATTCGGGAATCTGCTTCTCTGGCCTCCAAAAGATAAAGTATCTTATTTTAAAAATTTATTTATTCTTTTCCTTTATTCTGGCCTCAAATGTCTATTGTAATCTTTTTTTAAAACATAATTATATTAGTTCTTTTTTATTTAGTTTTTAACAAATTAACTTCGAATATGAGCATGTATTTGAGACATATAGGTTATGAATGACAAGCGGATATAAGATGTCAAAATAATACCGCAAGGACTAAAATATATAGGTTGAAAGTTGAGAGAGACATTTTAAAAGTTGAAGGTCTAAAATGGTATTTTAAATTTTTTACGAATTTTCAAATTATCTTTTTGAATTCTATTGAAAAAGTGTGGTGGTCACTGGTCATAAAGTGGGGGAAAGATATTTGCCAGCTATGGATATGTCTGGACTTTGAAGTTAATGCTAGATGACCTATGAGGCAGATGGATTGAGTGATATTTCTTAGTTTAAATTTTAAAAATTCAATCAATCATAATGATTTGGAAAATCTAGAGTTTTTGGGTCTTTATAACATATAGATGACGTCACATGCAATCAATATACAGGGTCAGAAATCGAACTCACAACTTTTTGATTTGATATATACGCCAATTATCGTTAAACTATGCTCAATTTGACGAAATGGATAGGATTTAGGTGAATTATTATTTGCTAAGTAATAGCATAGGGAGTGCTTTAAACATGTTACATAGTAGTACCAATCTAATTGAATAATAATTTTGAATTTATGAGCATTTTGATTTTGGTATTTCTATTAAATATGCAAGCATGAATAGCATAGGGAAACAGTGAGGTGAAGAATTGAGACAGGTGGGGCTAAGGATGTAATTCTAAATGGACCCCTTGGGATGTAGGTAGAAAGGTGGGCAGCATTGATGGTGGCAAAAAAGTTTGAAATTTAAGGTTGTATTTGGTTGGTATTTCAGAAAACAGAAATTTGAAGACAAGTGATTCAATGAAAAGTTGCAGATATGTGTTTGTTTAGTTTGTAAACTAGAGGGAGTTATAAACTAAATTTTAACTTAATCTAAACTTATATTAATTAATTTATTAACATTTTTTTTTATGAATTTTGCATGATTATTATTTTACAAGGTTATATAATTTAGAATACATTATATTTTTTTCAATTTTAACGAGCATGAAATGAATTTATAATATGAAGTAATATATTTTATTAAAGTTTTTATCTTTTTAATGTAATTCTACATCTTAAAATTTTCAAATTCTGAATCTAAAAACACTGAAAACATAAAAAAATCATTTTTAAAATTTCTATTGTTTTTCTACCAAACACATATTCATTGAATCAACATTTGATTCAGTGAATTTGAAAACAAAAAACAGAATCCAAGTTTCCAACCAAACGGACCTTAATATCTTCAGTTGAAGGGTTTTAAGAGGGAACGCCTTAAAAAGAAGTCATTTCAAACAATTTCAAGTACGTATAGTTTCAAGCTCGATCGACTCTTTGTATTTTGGCATAATACCCCAAGAGTGTGTTTGAGGCATAGGTTGGACATCGTAAACGTAAGGGTATGAGAGGAGGGTTAAGAAAATTGGTTTTCGAAAGCTTGTGTTTGAGACGTAAACTTGAGTGTATTCGAGCTCAAGTGTATTTTTATAGACTCTTCATATTTGGCATGAGTCCAAAGAGTGTGTTTGAGGCATAGGTTGGACATCGTAAGCTTGAGAATGTTAAACGTAGGGGTTTGAGAAAATTGGTCTTAGAAAACTTGTATTTGAGATGTAGACTTGACACGCCTGAATTTTAAGAAAACTGTACGAGGGAGTGAGTTGAGTACTCTAGAACCTATGGATTTGTCCAACAAAATTCAGGCTTGTAAAATCCACGGGATAAATGAGTTCGACATCTTAAGCCAAACTCACTCAAACAACCTAGTATCAATGACAAGGCAATAGAGGCTACACATCTCCCTGAGTAATATTAGGAAGAAATGTGTGAAATCAATCATTAGGATAAATAAGTTAAAAGAAGGGTCATTGCATTGTACAAAGAATGTATGAGAATTGAAGACCTTAAATTTCCAGTCCAACAGTATGAGCATCCGAGGACACACCCAATGATGAATAGTTGTAAAGAATTTTCGACCGATAAGTGAGCTGCGCTGAAGACTGCCGAGCTGACGATAACTGCTTGCTGCCATTGCATCTCAGATGAGATTGATGCTAATAGAAAGCCTCTGTATAATGTCTCTTCCAATAAGGGAGTCACAACACAATATGCTATGAAGCATGCTGCTCTTGAGATGTTGCTGCTGTCAAGGATCTCCTTCAGCACAGGATTGTTTACAGCCTGGAACCGAGTGGAACCCGTAAACTCATAGACACAAAATCACATCCTTTGACTAAAAAAAGTCCATGAAATTTGCAAGTCACAAGAAAATCTATATCTAAAGATTCTTCAAGATTGACAGTGATGGTTATCGTTATCATTCTGATATGCAGCAGTAAAAACCACTTGAAGAGAATCCCCAAAATGGTTTACATATTCTATATATGTGATCAATAGAGAGAAAATAGCCATCTAGTCCTGTAAACTATGGACTTCTAATAGACAACAATGCTACTATTATCAAACGTTTCGCAGTGATTTTGGAAAATTAGATGGCAAAAGCAAAAGGAACAAAAGTTCGTCATTCTAACCTTCGGTCCGATCGCTCTTTCTACAAGAAGTGATGTAAGGAAGACTAAGGTGAAAAGGAACCCGACTCCAATAGCCGATGCCAAAAGCCAATTCCTCTCACTGCCCAACTTGTTATCTCCAAAGAAGTTTCTGAATCTATAGTTTGGCTTAGCAGTGACCTTAAGTATAAAAAGAGTCACAATGAACTCTATAGTTTGAATTGCAAGTCTGGATAGTGCCTGCATTGGAAATGAACAAACTAGAAATGAGCAAATAAGGGTAACTGAACTGCCACTGCAATTAGAAAAAGACCAAATGCAAGCATCTGATGAAACTAAAGAATCAGGATAAACACAAAAATGCTAATCCAATGACATAATCCTCTATTTCTTAGAAACTGAGCCCAACCCATCAGTCAAAAAACGCTAATGATTGCAAAAGAAGTATCTGGATAAAGATGCATCAGAAATCACCTTAGTCTGGGGGTCAAGAACAGGTTCATGCATTAGTTGGGAAACGAAAGACAAGCTTCCAAAGCTCAAAGGAATGTGCAGACTGAAAATGTAGAGCGCCAGTGTGCTCCATGCGGTACCATTATCCCAAGTGGCATACCGTGGCAGAGCAGAGAAGCCCTAACCAAAACAGGAAGAAAACAAACCTAAATTTGGGTTATAAAGCACCCACGCTGCATAAATTAAACCCTAAACATTCACAGAACAGAGAATTCATAACTCGACGAACAAAACTGAACACACACAACGCCCAGCCTCGAAGTAAAAATTGAACTCGTGAGGTGGAATTTCTTAACATTCATAGATACCCAAAAGAAGAAACACGAAAATCTTTTTGGAATTTTACCTGAGAGGCTTCATGGGTAGTTTCATTCTTGTTGCAGAAACACTTCAACGAAGCTTTAGAATCGAAGCTGAACCTCCAAAGCTGGGGAACGGGGCATAATTTTATTTTCGAATGTAATCTTTCGATGAATTCTCCCGGCCTAGCGCCTGGAGGATGAAGACGAGGCCGTTGCTGTATCAATAATATCATTGCTCTCACAAGTCTTCTTCCACACTCCAGGCTTTACGAATTTTAATTTGTAGATCTACTTTTACATATTTGAGGAAATGGACCTTGTTAGGTCTGATTTCCAAATATATTATTTGGTGCAAAATCCAAAATTTTCGTTGTTTCGGATGGACGAAGAATATAATTTTTGCATGTTGAAGGTAAAAAATGTCAAGACAATAATGTGGCCCATTTACAGTGGGCTCTTCTGAACTTCACCGTCCAAGTCCAGAAGCTTCGGTTCAAATGTTTGGACATGGGCCAGATTAGCTGGACTTATTTGGGCCTCAAAATAGTATTCTAAGTTTCATTTTAATCCGGTTATTTAAGGTTTGTTTGGCTGGATCTGAATTATATGCTTTAGTAACATTTAACATATTTATCTTTTAAAACTATTTTCAGTTTCGGTAATTCAAATAGTGGAAATTTTGAAAACAATATTTTTTAAATTTGATTTCATTTTCAAATCTGCTACCAAATACTTATCTGAAAATACTGTCAAACACACCCTTAATTTTTTTGTCCATAGTCCATGAAGTATGAACTTTTACAAAATAACCAAGTTTTCAAAGTTATTTTATCTTTATTTTTTTAGTACAACACGTTGGATAAGAATTCAAGCTCTTGATCGAAACAGGTACCTTATCCCATTGAACTATGCTCGAAGTGGCAACATTATTTTGTCTTATCGATATATGTCTATGCATATGTGTATCAAGTACATGTTTACTCATGCTCATTTCGACAACCACATAAATTGATTGGGACTCGTACTAGAGGTGAGCATATAACAAAATAATAGCAAAAACTGTTAACTAGCGTTCACTATACTCATGTTGACTTGTATATAATAGGATTAGATATTATTTTTGCCCCTTTACTTTTGACTTTGGATTATTTTAATACATCTACTTTCAAAACATTCATTTTGGTTCATGTATTTTTAACTTTGATTCATCTATCCTTGATCAGAGAGATTCGAATTCAAGAACTCTTGATCAGAGGTATAGGTGTCAATTACCACTGAATTAAGCTTATACTCACGAAAACACATAACTTAAAATGAATGGAAAGTACATGAACTAAAATAGTATTAAAATTTAGCTGATATCTCTATTTATTTTATATTAAGTTGGGAACAAAATAACATTGATATAAAGATACTCTAAAGGAAGGAGTAATGAAGAAGAAATAAAAAGGGGCACGTGCCAGCCAACTCAACCCGATGGCACACCACGGTGGAACTCCTGGAAAAAGGGAGCCATAGCATATAGTGGTACGTGTGGATTAAAAAAGAAAAGAGAAGGGAAAGAAGGAAATATTGATTAGTCTGTAAAGTAAAGTAAATGATTAATTAGCATTAAAATGAAGGGTTATGTTCCCCGTTGAATAGGGTCACATGATAATGATAATGATATTATTATTTATTAGTTTTACTCTCTGTAGCATATATGCTTTTAACTACCAAATAATTAACATAATCTCTAATCGAATCATCATACTGCATTTATATTATATTATATGGTAATAATAAAAAGCAATAATTGGAGAAATCTGCGGTTATAAAGGCATAGCATGGCACGTGGGAGATTGAGATTTTAGAGTTCAAATATTCTTCCACATGCTTTCAAAAGTAATTAATATCCTTTTTTCTTCCACACATCACACATGGATTGCAGAATCAACTCTCCTTTCTTTTTTCTTTTTTCTTTTGTTTTTAAACCCTTTTTTCCCATTTTTGTTACTATGTATATTGTTATATAATCTTAAACTATATACTTTTTTTGTTTCTTCAACTTCCATCCAAGAATCTTTGTTTTCAAATACCATAAGAATTTTGGTGAAATTGAATAACATAATTCTTTTATCAATAGCATAATTTAAAAAAATGATGACGTGACATTTTAGAAATATCAATCTTATATGGAAATTTGTAATTTAACTTTTTATTTATAAAAAACTCAATAATGGAAAGAAAGTAATACATCATTAGTGGGGAGCCAAAAAAAGAGAGAGAGAGAGAAAAAAAAATGGTGCACGTGATCGATTGGGGCCAAGGCAAAGCATCACAATTCACAACCTAACAAATAATTGCTTGGAAGGTCAAAAAATTCGGCGAATCACAATTTCAAACCCACGCAACACAATAAAAAGCAATCTACCAAACCTACAAAACGACGTCGTCACTAATTCCGTTGCCTTCCCAACCGCCACTGTTCTCTTTAACTTTTCGACCGTTACCATTCCAAAATTAAATAACGGTCGAGACAAAACGACGACGTCATAAAAGAATCTACGCCCAAACGGGCACCCGAAATTCTTGCCATAACCGACGGTGGGCCATGAATTATTGTATTCCATACCCCCCAACGTAGTTAAACCCAAATCCCAGGGGTCAAATCGTCATTTCACAATTATATAATATTATATTTACACGCATTACATTATAAAATAAAGCTCCTGATTATAACTTCCTTGGCTATCTCAAAACTGTCGGCAAAACTCTTTAGTCTAACTATTTCAACTGTTTTTCTTGGGGGTTGCGCTGATCGGAACCTGATATTTTCCGCCGCCGCCCACCGCCGCTTTTCGCAATGCAGCTCCGCCGTGGCCCGTCATTTTTCCGGCTGTGGACGGTGATAATGTCGGTGAGCATGGTTATGATGGGGAAGTTTGGGCTGGTTCAGTCAGCCCGGCTCCGTAACCGGACGTCAGCGCCACATTGGTCCCCGGCCACCGCCACCTGGTACGGCAGCCCCGAAGGCGACGGTAGTGACGGTGAGTCTAATTAATTACTACCTTTTTTTTTTCTCAAACAAGAGAGTAAATTTAACTAATATGTTAAATAACTGAATTATTATGTTTAGTTTTTTTAGTTTAAAATTCTACTTTATAAAATTATGAAAGTTTCTTCCTGCAAAAATTACTACAATACTCACCAACATAATACAGTTAGAACTCTACTCTCTTTCTAATGTAACATATTTTTATTCTATTCTTATTACATAAGTGTATGTCATTGGACGGGTAAATACTAATCTCTTAACTGATAAATATATATCTATATTTTTACTATTATTCAAAAATTGACAAGCTTGTTAATATTTAAAAATTTTACCTATTTTTATATTTATTTTTTAATTGTCAAATATTTAATAATGGTAAGTACAAGAGAGGTTATTACCGATTAGGATGTAAGAATTTTTCAATATGGCTAGACTTGTAGGAAATTTCATTCAATAAAAAAAGGAAAATATTTGTCTCTTAGGAGGAATTTTATCCTCAACATCAAATGTTTGACATTATTGATATAATTTTTGAAAATACTTTCTTTTCATTAGCAAGAAGGAATGTTGTACTTACCACCTTTTAAATATTTGACAACTCATATTTTTTAAAAGAAAGAAAAAAGTTGTTTTTGCATTTAGCTCTCTTAATTGTCAGTGTTTAAGGATGGTATAAGATTTCTCCGGAAGCCTAAGTATATTTTTTATACTTAAAAAGAAATTGAAAATAATATCTCACACCCAATTGGTAAGTATTGTTTTAAAATAGTTAATTTGAGATTAATGAAAGGAATTGAATACATAAATGTTTTGGTTAGTACATGGCCGATTGGTGTGTAATTATGGAAAAATAAATATTGTGGCAGGTGGGGCGTGTGGGTACGGGAATTTAGTGGACGTGAAGCCGTTTAAGGCGAGGGTGGGGGCGGTGAGTCCAGTACTGTTCAAGAACGGCGAAGGCTGTGGCGCCTGCTACAAGGTCCGCTGCCTGGACCCAACCATATGCGCCAGACGAGCCGTCACCATAATAGTCACCGACGAGTGTCCCGGCGGCTACTGCGCCAGTGGCCGCACCCACTTCGACCTCAGTGGCGCCGCGTTCGGCCGCATGGCAGTAGCCGGTGCTGGCTCCCGCCTCCGTAACCGCGGCGAACTCTCTATCCTCTACCGACGGTAAATACGTTATCTTTTTAGAGTGCGTTTGGAACAAAAAGATAGTAAAATTAGTGATTTTGAAAAACCAAATCACGTGATATTTTAAAAATCAATTTAAAATGATTTTAAAATTTTAGTAAACCAAAATTACTCCCAAACACATTTTTTAATTATCTCTGCTTCAACCTCGTAGTTAGTGAGTAAAGTAAGGATGTGTTTGGGTAGTCAAAATCACTCTTTTTTATCATATTTGTCGGATTAGAAAATTGATTTTAAAAAAATTTAAAATTTATTTTTAATTTATCATTTAGATAATAATTTTAGAAAATAAATCCTACTTCAGTACCTTTGTTCAGGACTCCCTGTACGTATCGTGGGAAGAACATAGCCTTCCATGTGAATGAAGGTTCTACAGATCATTGGCTCTCGCTTTTGGTGGAATTCGAGGATGGCGATGGAGATATTGGGTCAATGCAAATTAAACAAGTATGCAAATTCCTTCCTTTTTAATTTTTTTTTTATCTCCATCATCATTCATATAAATATATAATTTAAACACTGCTTTTAAGGCCAGCTCTGTCCATGTGACAAAGGGGGCCCCCAAACAAAAATTAAAAAAGAGCAACAGACATCACATTGGTGAGCACGTTGAAGAAACATGATTTATTTTATCACTTGGTTTGCCATCTCAATTTGACTTTTGCATATATTGTCAGACTGTACATATTTGTATATTGAAAATGCAAACAAAATCTCGTCCATACAATATCTTTAAAATTGTGATGGTTATATTCAAAGCGGACAACATCATATCACTGTAAAAATGTAGAATCGTAGCCCCTGACAATATATAAATATGTATAGTGTGACATTAATTATGCATGGTTTAATAATGTAAGAATATGTATAACATATGGGACAGGCAAGCTCGAACGAGTGGATGGAGATGTCACATGTGTGGGGGGCAACTTGGTGCATAAATGGAGGGCCTCTCCGGGGCCCATTCTCAGTGAAGTTAACAACATTATCCACAGCCAAAACCCTATCAGCCAGAGATGTTATCCCCAAGAATTGGTCTCCTAAGGCCACCTACACTTCTCGCTTAAACTTCTCCTAAGAAGATAGAATTATAACAATAATAATGTTGTAATTTTTACACATATATGGTGTGTATTGTAGCCTTCTCCGAAGGGAGAGAGAGCTTAGTTTGTATTGTCTTAATTTCTTCCCATCTTTAACATTGTTCAAATTATATATATATGCTTAATAATATAACGTGTCCATAAAGATATATGCGTCGAGATTAACAAAGAAACGCCAATTTGGAGTATAAGCTTATTCTTTTAATCGAGATACTGGAGGCTTGTGTTGCGTTTGTTAGGGAAATGCAAACGAAATCCTACATTGACTAGACAAGAGAATGATCATGAGGACAATTATCTTCATTAGAGTACCGTTGTACTTAACCGTTTGAATCTTCGTCCCCACGGGAAAAGTAAAACAAACATCGCCCACATGCAAGTATATGCATAGTTCGAGTGGGGGTTGGGTTGATGAGAAGTTTGGGCCTGGGAGTTGTGTGTGTGTGACCACTTAAAATTTGGAGGGTGCGACATGGCACATGGCTTGGCATGTGACTCTTCACAATGTTATTGCTTTTAGATTAGATAAAACTTCTTTGTCCAACACAGAGAGTACAATTGTCTCTTTTGGATGGGAAGAAAAACAATTATATATAGAAGTTTATAAGATATATTTATCCCGATGTTTCCTTCTCGTTTACGCTCTTAATTTTGAGATAATTTATGGGCTCACTAAGCGCAATCGAAATTGATGTCTAATAAAATTATGATTTTTAATTTTATTTTTAAAAAATTTATTGAGCCTATTAGACATATAATTGAAAGTTCAATAACCGATTAGGCTCAATATAATGTAATTCATAGAGTATATATAAAGTATTTAAGATTTGAGAAATTTAATTAGCTCTAATTTGTTCCATATTAGTATGTAATATTTTTCCTATCCCTTTTAGTTTAGTCAAGGTACAATTGGGAGTGAAGAGTCACATATTTATCTTATTAATCACTTCATTATTTTGTAATGTACAATGAATTCCCTCTATAGAATGTAAAAATAAAAAATGTAAAATGATATTTCGGTGAGCTATCTTAATAATCCCTAAGAAAAAATCTCTAGTTTCGTCCTTGATTAAAGCTTCGATCAAATTAAGTAAAGATTTGAACTCAAGTGACAAGTAGTGTTGAAGCACGAGCATACGAAGTGCTGCTAGTATATTTACAATATCTCTTTTTTTAGTACAACAAATAGGAGGTATAGGAGTTTGAACCTACAACCTCAAGGGGAGGAGTAAGTACCAATTACAGTTGAATTATGTTCGTGTTGACATAAATATCTTGTTTAAGTTTTGTTGTTATCCAAAATATATTTTATATTTTCAATTGGAGAAGCTTAGTTAAACATGGGCTTGGTATTGGGCCTAAATTGAAATTTGAAAGTGATGAGTAAGGAGGAATTTGGGCCTCGAATGATCCATAACAAAGGCATCTTTCTTGTTTACCACATAAAGGGGCCGGAAGCCTCAACCACAAGAAGCTTACCATTTTTGCAGTCCTTTCTTGCAACTTCATCACACAAATTATTATATTAAATATAATGATTTTCCGGTCCACCCAAAATTTATAGCTACATTTATAAAACACACAAAAGAAAGAAAAAAAGGTCCAAAATTTATGAACCGGTAATGATTAGATATCCAATATATGAATTAAATTTATCAAATCCATCAGCTTAAGCTTTTGGATTTAGCTAGTGACAATTTATCCATCTTAACATGGTATCAGAGCGAAGGTACCGTGTTCAAACTCCTACGATTTTCACATAAGATCCTGTGTTCAAATTCCGACGTATTAACAACAAAATTTAGCTACCATTATCAGAAAACGGTAGGATTCTAACTGTTTTTAAGTTAGAAAAGGTTGTCCACTGCTAAAGGGGAGAGCCGCCATTCCAACTGAGGAAAGGAGAAAAATAATAGAGATTATTGATAAGGAAGGGAATTAAGAATTGGATTAGGTTTAATTGCTAAGACTGCCATATTACTTAATTGATGTTTAACACTACATGCCAACAATATCATTAATTATTTTAATTGGGCATGCAAATTTTCTAACCCTAACACTAAAAATTCATCACGATTCTGCCGTCAATGGACGGCGTTTGGCCCCACCTCTCCCTATCACATTCATACCCTACATATTTTAATCAAACTCATTTCTTATTTTTCATTAATTTTTTATAAATATGCTAGATACCATTAAATTATTAGTCACAATTTTTTCCTCATAGTTTTTTTAGTACAACAAATTGAATGAGAAGAGTTGAATCTTCGACCTCAGATGTCAAAATTTTTCCTCGTAGCATGTATTTCTATTGTTGTATTGCGTATGCTGTGATTCAATATCCAAGAAAAAGAAAAGTTATTTTTTTCCTTTTAGCATGAGTTTGAATCCTGAGGTCAGCGCTCATCTTTTAACACAAATTTCATTTTGATCAAACTTTAATATTGTTTTATTTCCATCAATGAACTTTGAAAATGTCTATTTTAGTCTCTGAATTTTAGTAAAAATAATCATTTTAACCATTATATTTATTTTTTTATCAAAAAAATATAAGGTGGCAAACTAATAGAAATCATCAAAATTAAATCACTATTTGTTTTGAAAGTACTGATGATGAAATTCTAAAAGTTCAGACATTTTGAAAATTCAAAAACCAAATTAAAATAGAAAGATATGAAAGCAGAGCCCAAAAAATGGGCCTTTAACCAAAATTTTATTAGCATCTCCAAATAAATATTATCTCAAGGAAAAAAATGCTCCCAAAAACTCCATCCTATGTGGTGTAATGTTATCATAGAGCGGATTAATAAATAACATAAATTTTAAACTTTTTTTAGCACAACAAAGGCTAGTGGAGAAGTGGGTGTTTGACCTCAAACAAGATAATTGGTACTTTATTCATCACAAGAACTAAAATAAGAAGACAAACACGAGTATATCTCAATGATAATTAATACATACTCATTTTCTCGAGTCGAACTATCGTATCCTAAATTTGTTGTATTAAGAAAAACTAAAATAAGAAGCAACGGGCACTAGAATACACATAATTGAAAAGGAAAACCCTAAAAACTGTATTTTACAAAAAAAAAAAACGTAGAATATGATTATAGAATACAAAGAAAGGGAAACTAAATTCCACCATAAGAGCCCAAAAAGAATGGCTTTGATGGATGAAACGACGACGCACCAAGCTACCAAGGCGAGAGATCCCAAAAACGTCTCATCCCCTCCTTCGCTGGTTCTTTACATTCTACAATATTGCACTAAAACCACAATCACACTACATAACATATCCTAATCCCTTCCATTGGATTGATCTTCAAAAAACATGCGACCAACTCAATGGACTCAAAAAATTTAGAACAAAAAAAGAAATCCCAAATGGGTCGTCTCATCTGATCTTCCTTTGAAATTACCTATTCTGTGATTTGAGTCAAATTTGGTTCAATCTTCATGTTTCCATAAGAAGAGCTTCATGGGAGGAGCAGAAGAGGAGGAAGACGAAGCCGACTCTGAATTCTCTTCCTTGTTCTGATCATTATCACAGTCGTTAAAAAACTGCTGCTGATTTGAAGAAACGAAAGGGATTTGAGATTGCATAACCAAATTGTTTGTTGGGTCCAAGTGATCCCAAACCGGGCTGCCCGGTCCCCACCCCGCCGGAATCGCGTTGAACCAAGCCTCCTCCATTTCTCCCCACACCATCTCCGGCGGGTTCGTCTCGCTCGAAACCACCTCCGGTTTCTCCTCTTCCGGCGGCGGCGGCGGAAGAACGGTGCTTTCTGCTTCTGCGTTTGGGTCGGCGGAGGGCTCTGGTTTTCTGGGTTTGTCCTTGTTGAGGAATCGATCGGGAAAATTGAGGCGCGCATTTTCGCCCCGCAATCTGAAGGCCTCGCGATCGTAAGCCATGGCGGCGTCCTCGGCGGTGTCAAAGGTGCCGAGCCAGAGCCGAGTCCTGTTGCGAGGGAGGCGAATTTCGGCCACCCATTTCCCCCAATGCCGCTGCCGCACTCCCCTGTATAGCTTGGTGGCGCTTATGGGCTGCAATTGGGGTCGAAACAAATGGTTCCCATCTGGGCCTAATCGGCTCATCATCATCGCTCTCCCTCTCGGACTCAGATGGAACGCGTCGCTCCAGTACTTGAAAAGCCGCCGCTGCTGCTCCGCCGCCGCCGCGTCGCTAAGGAAGTACGGCGGAAAGCCGACGCCGCCCGGTTGTTGCTGGTTGGAACTGAACGAAATCATCTGTTGCTCCGGCGACCCAAATCCCGGGAAAGGGGAAGCGGATCTTGGGACTTGAGAATTTTGGGTGGTGGGTTCGAAATCGAAAGGAAATGGGATTCTTGAAGAAGGGGGAGAAACAGGGGAGGGGAACGAAACAGAGGAATAAAGTGGGTTAATTTGGTGGTGTTCTGAATCTGGGCTGCAGATTTTCTTGAGAGGTCTTCTGGACAAGAAAGCATCGTCTAAAATTGGCTTCCATTGCCGTCTCTCGGAGCTACTTTCAACATCTTTTCCTTTGCCAATCTTGTCAGTTTTTTCATCGATAATCATCTTGGATTTCCCTGTTTTCTTATCCTCTGCCATGGATACAGAGCTCTGTAACTAATTATGCTCACGCCTCTCGCTCAAAAAAATCTCTATTTACAAGGTGAAGGAGAGAATTTGAGATGGGTAGGAATAGGATGATGATAAACTGGTTTGATTTATCCGATTGAACTAAAAACAGAGTCGGATAAGAAACCCATGTAAAATCTATCGGAAGGAGAGCGAGCGGCGGAGCGGGGAGGAGAAACTGAAAGCGACGGTGGCGGATGCGGCGGCGCGTTGGGATTCTGAGAGGGAGAAATTTTTTGGTGGTGATTTGTGAGAGATTGGGAGGGGAAGAGTGGGCGTTTATAAGTTTAAGGAGAGAAGAGAAAAAGATTTGTGTTTTTTGATTGAGAATATGTTGAAGTGTCGTGGTTGGTCAGCTACGATTGGGGCCCACCCCACCGATATAATATTCTAATTTTAGTGTCTGTCGTTGCTTGCACTTCAATTCTCTCAGATATTTTATTAATTATTTCTAAATTGTTTTATTTATTTATTTATTTATTAAAGAAGTATTTTTTTAAATTGTTATGGAGAAGGGTGCGTAGAATTAGAAGGATTGGATTGATATTCTTGAGATGAGATAAGATATGTTTAGAACTTTGGCATAATAATAAGGATTAAATCTGTATCACCAATATTGTTGGTCATAATTGGAATTAAAGATACTTTAACGTATCATTATGTTGCATTGTTGTTTATTTATACGGAAAAAAAGAAAAAGAGTAACTACATTATTAGAACTGAGATCTAACGTCTATTTAATTTCTACACTTAGAAAAAGAAATTCAAATTACGTCTTTGGAGGTTTAGAATATATTCATATTTAGCTATTATTGTTAATATCATTAACGGAATGTTAATCACAACAATGAAGAATTTTCCTACCTTTATTGAAACATTCCATTGAGATTGCAAATTTTGTTGAACCTGTGAAAGTTTTGACCTTACGAAACTGTGGTGAACGATTGAAGGAATTCTAAACTTGATACACGACACAATTGCAATATGTTTACAGAAACGATTGAAGTATGTTTTAATGAAGTTGCAGTTTTCAATTCTGATTATTTTTTATTATATATGCACTATCTTATTTGAGAGTTCATGGGAGTCTCTCCTCTCTCTAAATTATAATTATATGCATGCATGACCAGAGGTACAATAAAATTAATTTTGGCGAAGGACAGTGGTCTAACTTGGATTAAATAATACTCATTGGACATTCCTTGTAAAAATGAAAATGCATGGTACTGAATTGAGTTGAAAACACCGCTATTCTCTTCCAACGAAATACCAAATCAAAATAGAATACTAAACCACCAAGAAAAATCAAGAGGGGTAAGATTTTTAACATAATTTACTTTCTCGTGAAATATTAAAACATATCTTAACAAAGTTTACTGGAATATAATTGAATTAGTTAAAAGTTTATTTATTTTTTTATATATGGAGAATACTTATTTTATTTAAAATTTAGTCGTGTTTGAGTGGTTTATTTTAAATAAAATTGAGAATAAACCTGAGTTTAGAGGAAGTAAATATTAATGAGTGATGGAAGTGCTTCCACGCGCCTCGCCCCCCCGTGCCACTTTCGGCGTAAATGCTTCCGTCTCTCTCTCTCTCTCTTTCTCTCTCATAATATAAATTAATTAAAATAATCAAAGTCAAAGGTGGTATTGTTTGTGGAGGCAAAAGTCAACAACATGTCGGTGACTACCGCCACGTGTCGGTTATTCACTCTTGACCTTTTCTCTAACCCAACAAATATCTTCCCCTTTTCGAGGATGCAGCTAAGAACAAAATATATATATATTATATATTTTTTTTAAATCTATACACAAAAACATTAAAAATTTTGTATTATTCTTCTCAGTTTATCCCACCTAAAATTCTAAGAATTAAATATTACATCTATAAAATGTTAAAATACAAAGTGCTGCATCTCTTATTATTACTATTTTTATAAATTTTTATAAATTTGAATTCTCACATTCACATGTTACATTAAAAAATCTCGACTTATTAATTAATACACAATAATCTCTTTTAAAGATTAGAGATTCAAATATTAATGATGTGTTTCAACAATTAAATAAATATAGATTTATCTTTGCTCTGGTCTATTTTCTCTCTTTTTGATTTAATTTTTCTAGAATCTAAACGAGCCTTCTTGGAGGAAAATCTCTATTAATTTTCCAACAAATAATGAGATGAGATTCAAGATTTGAAAGGTTGACTTTTTACCTCCATTATAAAATCTTGTTCATTAAGAATCATCTTGATATTATATAATTTGTCTTTACAAATATATTGTAGACAATATGCCCACGAAGAAAAACTTAATTTGCTTTCATATCATCTTTAAATTATCGGAGTTGTTGAGGGCCAACATTAGACAATTTCGACAAGTCAGATTACACATTTTCAAAATCAAAGAAAACAAATAAGTCTTCCCCCAAAATATCATAACTTATAAAAGTAAACTCAATGCTCAAAAAATTGGTTTTCTTTTTCTTCAAATGTTATTGTACAACGAACTTTTGGATATTCTAGAACTAAGTATTTTTGTTTGAAATTTGAATAACACATTAAAAAACATATATATGCAGCTGTGTTCTTGTCCAATTGGCCAAGCTGGCAGAACAACATGAATCTCCTCGAACATTAAAAAAAAAAAAAAAAGAAGAAGAAGAAAAAACAGAACAATGATGGCCACTGCTACTGGGGAGGCGCAGAACAAAAAGTCAAGTCAACCCCATTTCGGCGTGGAAAGCTTTAACTTTAATCCATCACAAACATAACAACATTAATATACTTATCTTCTTATTGACCCATTTCCATTAAAGTATCTCAAATTCCTCTGTTTTCTCTTCTTCTGGTTTGCCTTCCAAGAAATTCGTAGGTTGCTTCTTCTTAATCTCAGTTCCTTCCACTACTTCGTGGGTTGAAAAAAGGCATTAATCTTCTTAATAAAGATCTGAGTTTGGTTTCTGAACATTTGTAACTGAGAATTGATATTCTGCTTAAGTGGAAGTGGGGATTTAGGAATTTATACTTGATTGAGTGGTTAGTGGAGTTAACATAAGTTCATGAATCTTTTGGGGTTTTTGTTTACAACTAAAGCAACTTCAACTACTGATTCCACCCCATCAATCCACCAAAACTTGCTTTTTTCTACAATGGGTCACAGCTGAAATTCTGATATTCTTTGGAGCTTTCTTTTTGACTCCTCTTGAATGAAAGCTGAACTGCTTTAAAGAATTACAAGGGAGGTGGAGAGTTCTTTTGTTTTGAGTTTGACTCCCTTTCTCTCTGGATGTTAATAGAAATAACAGATTCTTTTCCTTTGATTCTGAAGTTGCCTACTCATTGGTGCTGCTTTCTCTGTGAATATTCTCTCTTCAGAGCTATGAATTTGGCTGCGATTTCGTCGTAGTCGGGCAACTTCGGATGAACATGGCTCGGATACTTATCGGCAGCTTTCGTACATTTTGTGAAACTACTTTTCATTCCATTGAAACCGAGAGAAGATTCATGCTTACACTTTGTACTGATTTCTTCTGGTTTTGCATTAGTTTCCTTGTTCTCAACTGGCTGGCAATGAGAATAGACAAAAACATCATAAACTATAGTTCCAACCTCACAATTTCTTATCTTTTCTGTCCTGGGGAGCGTATCGAATTCGACTCGATGGCGGTCTTTGCCAGACAAACTATTATCTAAAATAAAATGTGGATCAACTTTCTTCTTCTCTGATATCAAAACTTCAGAATACACATAACTTGGCTGCTCCAAGCAGTAGTTTTCCATTCCAGATGGCAACCAGGAGCTATGGCATGATAGGCAGCAACACTTCATTAATCTCTTCTTTGGATGACTTAAACTATCATCCTCTTGATGCGTCGATCTTCTCATCGATCTTTTCGGAGATTTATTCATACTCTGGCTAGATCTTTCCGAGACTGATCTCTTCTTCGAGTTGTTGTGATGTTCTTCTATGAGACCTTGACCATTGCCATATTGAACGTTTTCTCTCATTCCCGTAACAGGTGATTTGAACTTGAATAATCTCTGATCCCACAAGTATCCTTCTTCCATCGAGGGGTTCGGAAGCTCAACTACATCATCGAGATAAACAAGAGTTTCTTCACAAAATGGAGAGCATTCAGGAGAGGATGCATCTTCCAAAGTGGCAGAGCTGCTACACACTTCCTGTGATGGACTGACACACATTACTTTTCTCTCGAACTCTTCAGCATTTGAATCCTGAATGTTTGGTTCTTCTTTGCTCTCACAATGAGTTTGATCTCCATTCTCCAGTACCTAAGGTTTACCAAATCTCATTCATTTCTAATGGCATTTCATTACAGAATTTCTTGAAAGAAGAAAAAGGAAGAAAAAATGGCAGAGCTTTTCATTTCACATCAGCAAATCACCTGTTTCTGATGCCAGTCAGGACAGTATTCAAGAGCCAAAATTGCTGGACGAAAGCAATCTCTAGCTATTTCACTGATCAATCCTTGCTTCTCATGATCTGAAACAGGCTTCACAAGAAGCTTCTCTTTAATCTGTAGAAAGTTAGTGAATGTTTTAATATTCACAACCCAACAATCTGAGTATAGCAATCTAACAAAACAATCATTGAATCCCCATAATTTTCTACCTGTGGATTCACAAGATTTCCAGGGCACAATTCGACAGCAGTCGCGGCGAAACTCCGACCAAATCGCTCCTCGAAGAGCTTCCGAACCGATTTAAGTTCAGGCAAGTCCCCACATCTTGCAGAGGCAAATATGAGACTTGAAATTGCTTCAATAACATCATCTGGGCAGGTCCTGGAACCACCAAAGTTAGTAATAATTTGACAATAAGAACCAAGAGGTATCTATCATACTTGTGTTTTCTGACATGGGAGAAGTTCAGGAGGATGAATTCACAGAAATTCTCAATCAAATCGTACGCCTCCATAAGGCTTTCATCTCTAATAAGCTGCTCCACCTGATATGGAAAAAAAAAAGAATGAGATTAAAGTTTTCTGTAGAGATGGAAAAGAAGTAGTGAATCAAAGAGTATTCAGTTCGAACATACCCTGTTGAAGGCAATTTGTTGATAGCCATTACTAATCAGCTCAGCCAAATCTTCACGCAATTGCCTGAGGATTGAATATCTTTTCTTCTTGAGCATCTTAAGCCGGGACAGAGCTCGTTTGATCATCTTCTTGCTGCACCAAATCACAAACAAAAATCAAACTTTTTTAAAGATGAGATCATTTTAGAACGGGAAGGATGTGAAAACCCACCATTTTGAAGCCTTTCTCCACCCAAATAAAATGCAAAACATGATGAATTTGGCTGTTAACTAAACGAGTTAAGTTGAAGCATCAATAAGAACAGAGCCACCGCTAGAAATGGTTACACTCTATTGGGAGTTATTTAGAAGAAGTGGGTCTGAAAATTTAGAAACAGACAGAGAGAGAGAGAGAGAGAGGAGGCAGTTTTTAGTTACTGATTACGTAAAAAAACTGCTCCGATTACTTGGGTTTTGTTCTTCGGGACAAATGGAAAAAATAAATCTGATTGAGAACAGAGAGGACGTGGGATGGACTTGGCCGAAATTCATGGCTTATTAAACGCTGCAAAATGCAATCTTTTTGGACCCCTCAACTCTTGGAATATACTTGAATTGGAAATGCATGATCTGCAGAAATGGTGGAGTTCTGTTTTGATTCTTGAACCCTTTTTAGCAGATTCATTTCCTTACAACCCTGATTTTTCTTCTGCTCATTCGCAAATTTAAATTCAGTGGGTCTCTTTGAAGTTCCACAACAATTCCAAACAAAGAATTTGATAAACTGATGACTTAATGACTTGATTGAATCCATCAAAACTTCCAATTCGGTGAATTACAAACAAGGAAAAAACCAGAACATCCACGGCACTTCAAAAAAAAAAAAAAAAAAAACAAAGCAAAGAAAAGAGACAGAAATTCCTAGGTCCTATTTTCACTCACGACACAACATAATTACGTAGAAAGAAAGCAAAAACAGAGTAATCAAAATAATCTCCCATTAACCCACAACCACAAGCTTTACAAATTTCACAAAGTGGCACCATAAGAGTAATTAGTCGATAAAATCCCAGCTTTCTTATTCGGGGACAAATTATCCACCACCAACGAACAATTCACCAACACCGTGATCTTCCTGAACGAGAATCCTCCGACGACCACCGTGACCGGCACCTTGACCTGGACGAACAGAGGAATTTTGCCGCTGTGCCGGTTCTGCATGAGCGCCTCCTGCAGCCCAGATCCGAATTCGCTGTTCCCGCTCAGCAAAATGTTGATATCGGTGACATTCTTGGAGGGCTGCCGGAAATTTGGAATCTTGCCGGCGCAGAGCTGGGATTTGGAGTAGAGGACGGAAACAGAGCTGTCCTTGCCGTAGACGAATTCGATGTTGTTGTTGGGGTTGTCGGCTCTGACGATGACGATGAATTCAGTGTGGAGGCTGAAATCGGGCTTCACATCGAAGGCGTGGACGCTGAAATCGCTGACCTTGTAGGAAGGGATTTGGGGCGAGTAATAAGACCAGAGAAAATACCCAAATCCGATGAGGGCGAAGATTAGGAAGAAGAGGAAGCAGTAGCAGCAGCAGATGCATTTGAAGCAGCAGCCGCAGCCGCCGCCGTGGGACTTGGAGTGGTAGCGGGGGATGTTGCGGCGGTACGGCGGCGGGCGGAGGCTGGCCTGGCTGTCGGAGAGCATAACATATTTGGGTTTAGGATGACCGGAATCCATGGAAAGGGATGGGAAGAAGATTGTAGTTGAAGGGCGTTGACTGAAATTCGATGGGCATAGTTTGTGGAATTGGTTGAAGGTGAAAGATTGTGTGTTTTTTTTTTTGGTTTTGGCTGTTTGACGATGGCTTCCATGGCTTCCGGAAACTGTTGAGTGTTTGAGGACGAGAAAGAAACTGGGAACCAAATCAATGGCCGCCCATGGCTGCTCTGTTTTTCTTTTCTTTTCTTGCTTCTTTGGTTCCCCTCTTCGTCTCTATTTTTGATGCACCAACCAAATTTTTGTGCTTTTTAAAGAAAATAGCCTTTTCTACGACAATCTTTACAAAATATTTTTTAAAAATTTGATTACTTTAAATTTTATTTTACAACACAGTTGAGAGTTATCAAGAAAAAAAAAAAGTTCGAAGGAAAACACAAAAAACGATTACATCAAAAAAACCCAAGCATTCCACAGCTAACACATCTGAAGCCTCCGTCGGTCGGCCATTCCTCTAGCCAAACTGCATGTTCATGATGTAATGATGCTCTTGTAGTTGTTGTAATTTAAACACTCGGGATATGATGTTAAGAGCAGAAAAAGACAAAAAAAGATATTGTAAATATGACAATTTTTTAATATACTTATAATTATTTTTGTAATCATTGATAAAGCCTATCACTAATGTATAGTACATCATTGGTACATTATTTGTTTATTATTAATAAAACAAATAAGTAGTATTCTTGATATGAATTACATTATTAATACTAATACGAATTCCTATGTTTGTGTCATTTTTACAAAATCTCCCACCATTAGTTTTAACTAAACTACTGTAAAGAAAAAAAAAATATTTATACAAATTTTTATATTAGATCATAAAAATAATCAAGTGTGCGAACTTCAGCTCAGACCGAAAGATGATCAAGAGGACGAGCTAGAAACTAGTTGAGCAGGAGACTTGCAAAACAAAACTCTGATGTCTCAGGGAGTAGTGGAACTATATTCGAAAGAATATAGTTTTCGCATGCATGAGATAGAGGTGGGTGGTCTCTATTTATAAGCGAGATCTCCAACATAACCTCAACGGCTCTTTTAAGATAATCGTAAAACGCATAGCATTTCCGTGGAGTGTGTTGGAGAATGAAATTGAACCGAGACGAGAAGCAAGGGTTAAATAAGACAGGCTCAACTGGACGATAAGCATTAAGACCGAGATGATAACTTTTGACCTTATAGACTCCACTTGTAGTTCTCTTCAAAAGTTAAGATGTGCCACTTGTGTGAGGTAAAAATCCACCTCCAACAGCACAAAACACCCTTTGATCAACCATTGATTTTGAAAATTAGGAGTGAATCCAAGGCCACCATTAAATTGCATAGAAACCAATCTGTTGAAACAAACGTCTCCTAGTTTATTCCCTGCATCAGTGAAAGTTTCAGAGTACAAGCTCAATGCTCTGCTTCTGCGGCACAATAATGTTCATTTTATGGGTACCATTACCATTTACCATGGCCACAGCAGTAGAATAAAACAGAAGGAAAAAAAAAGGTATAGATATAGAGATGGTCCATGGATAGATATAGAGGGTATTTAAGAGAGAGACAAAGATCCATCACGGCCCAGGAAGTTGCAGAAGAACATTAATGGCGTTCACATCAGTCTGAGGATTCAAATTTATTGGCAGCCGCAGCCCCCTCTGGCTCTGCCTCCAACTCTAACATTTCAAAATTTTCATTTAATGGCTGGTGATGGTTCACGTTAAGGAGGCAGTTTCTATTCTGATTTTGAGCTGCCTTTCACAATCAATCCCATTATTTTCCTTTCCAAGCTCGGATTCCCTGTGACTTCATCACTAATTCTCAACAAAATCTACACCCTTTTGCCTGTGACTTGCTTCAATTCCCTCCCCCTTTATATACCCCCTTCACTTCCTCTGTTTTCCCAAAAAAAAGACACCATTTTTACCCAACAATGAAGGCTTCAGCTTGGTTTTGTCTACTCCTCGTCATTGCTTTCTCAATATTCCCACCACCCATTTCCTCCAGACCCATTTCCCACCAAAACTCACGTAATAACCCCACTTTACTTGAGTTTTTATAAAGCTCTGTTTTTTCTTTTAAGATGATTAATGTCTGATGAGAACTTTGTGCACACAGAGAAGCAGAAGACGGCGGCGGCGGGGACGGTTGCAGTGGCGGGGTCGAGATTGCCGGATTGCTCCCACGCGTGCGGCTCGTGCTCGCCGTGCAGGCTTGTGATGATCAGTTTCGTTTGTGCGGCGGTGCAAGAGGCGGAGACATGTCCCATGGCTTACAGATGCATGTGTAATAACAAGTCATATCCTGTTCCTTAGTTCTTCATTTTTTCCTCTGCCTCTCCATTGTAAAATATATTAATTCTACTCTCTGTTTCTTCTTTATTTGTGCCTGTTAGAGTTGTAATCACAGAGCTTCTAGTTTCTATCAACATTTTGATAACTTAAACACAAAAGTATATGTTTCTCATAATTCATTCTAATGTTAACCTTCCATCCACAAAATTAACTTTAGGGTATCGATATATTTTCAGCTTTCGTTCGTTTTACTACTGTACTTTCAAAATTTCATCTATTTTAGTGTTTAGTGTTTATACTCTAAAAAGAACTCATCAACATAGCCTCTTACTTTTCATCTTTATGTCATTTATTTCGATCACAAATTTAACACGACACTTCACTTGAAATGTGACAATTTTTTTTTTTCATATTTGTGGGTGTTCGGACTCACAACTCAACCAGCAACAACCTAACCCTATAACATTTGGTGTCAGGAAACATCTATAAATTAATTTCTAAGGTAGATAACTATCATAGCATTTGAAAATATGTATTTCTTTGAGTAGTTTTTACCTATTTTTTAAAATGCCTTCAAAATATAAGTCAAGTTTTGAAAAAGAAAAAAGTAATTAATTTTAAAAAGGTAATCTTTACTTTTAGAATTTAATTAATTCAAATGTATTTTCAAGAAAAGCGGAAGTAAAAAATTATTTTTGAATAAAATGGAGAAAAGAAATTAATAAAGTTAAAAAAATAAAAAATTAATTTTTTAATAAAATGGAGGTGCTACTAATTAAAAACATATTTTGTCCACATAATTAAAATATAAATAATCAAATCTAATAATCATAGAAAATTAATAGCGGCTGATTGCATAACTATACTTTTTAATTTTGAGAGATATAGTTATATAGTATACAAGAGATGATCAAAGTTGAGGTATTAATATACATCAAATCGGCATACTACGGTTGTATTAAGAAAATAATTTATTCCCTTCCCCCAAAAAAAAAAATAATAATAATAATTTATTCCACATTCATATCAATATTGGGAAATATATTTATCGAGAAAAGAACAAAAGGTAAATGAGGGGAAAAAAAGGAGTGGGCCATCCAAGCGAGCATGCACAAACTCCACTAGATTCCTTTTGACTTTTTATTATTTTTATTTTTATTTTTAAAGGACTCCTTTTGACTTGCTTGTACACATTTTTAAGTTTTAAATTAGTTTTTTTTTTCTTTAAATAATATTATAAATGGTTGATGAGAATTCAAATCTAGCATTTGGGCTTGTTTAGTAATATAAATATAACGCAATTGTTTTTTGTTTTTTGTTTTTTTTAATCGAACAAAGAAAGAGAAACATATTTGGTAACTATTTTTTTTATTCCCTAAAATTTTAAAATACAAAAATTAAATTTTTTGTAAAAATTTATTTTTTAATGGATTATATGTATTATGAATTTTGTGGGTAAAGAATTATGAAATAACGTTTTTATTAATATTTTGAAAAAAAAAAACCAAAAACAAAAAATGAGAACAAGACACAATAAACTTGATTGTGTTATTTTTAAAATTCATAGTTCATACGCAACATTTCTTAAAAACGAGAAATGAGAAACAAGAACAGTTACTAAATATTTATATTTCTCAAAACCCAAAAACAAGAAATAAGAAAAGAGAACGTTATTAAATGGTTGATAATTTTATAATATTAGATATATGGGAGAGAGATTAAAAAAATATGTTTCCATCATGCATTTCACGATTATGAGAATCATAGTCGTTACAAAAAAATAATTTTCATATAACATAGCATTGATTTTCTGAGTTGAAAATCACTATGTAATCATGTTGGTTTTCTTGTCAAATTAAGATGTTCAACTTATATTTGATGAAAAGTCGGTGCAAGCAAATTTTACCATTCGAGTTAATGGTAGAAACGCGTAGGAGTGCAAGAATGTAATTATTTATGTGGTGTGGGATGACGTAGAGACACATAGTACTGGATATCATATGCGTCGGGTCGCTTCCTAACACTCCTCCAGAACGTAAAGACTCAAAGCATTCGATATCTTATATTAGCTCTAATGGAAGAATTGAAGAATTAAGCTAAGCTCATCAATGAGTCTTCAAAGATAAAGAATACCATATGGTTCAGAAGAAATTGTCAACTTTATCTTTCAGCTGAAATACCTAAAAGCAAAAAAGAGTTCAAAGTTGACAATTTGCTTCTCTCATAAAAAAAATTAATTTTATGTCTCCGGAACTATTTATTAGGCATTAACTATTGGGATCTTATTAAGTTTATTAAATTTCTCCATCTTTAAGTAATATTAATTAAATAATTTTGGGGCTTGAATGGGATGCATATAAAAGTGAGTAGGATTTTGTAATAAAACTTAATTTAGTTTACCTAAGGGGAAATTTGCCGAGGTCACCACCTCTCAAATTTAGAAATTTTATAATACTACTAAACTTATAAATTTGTTACAATTAAATAACCCAACCTTATAATAATTTTATTAATGATAAAGATTTAATAACAACAATTTTAGAACTTCAAAAATTATAGTGGGCTAAAATTAGAAATATATTTAAGATATACCAACTCTCCTAGTTTAAATATAGTATTCATAACTTTATATTTAATAAAATATATGAAAATAATTTTAATTGTTTTATTTATTTTTTATATAAAAATATACCTCGAAGACATGTCTCGTCGCTTTAGACATGCACAACAATGTACTCCTACCTTGTTTTGAAAATTTTGGCTCGTAATATTTAAACATGCATGACAACATATTCTTACCTTTGTTTGGAACTTTTTGGCTTAGATTGTACAATGAGTCTTATCACAAGTAACATTACTATTGCTGAATTTAAGAGGTCGCAACTTGAACATAACTTAATGTTCCTCGTTGGTCGTTGAAAAGTTTTCCTACACAACTATAGAGGACAACCATTCTAGTGGCGTTCATCCCTCTAGTGGTTATAGCTAGCCTAAAAAGTAGTACTTACTCTCCCACTACTAGTTGTCAATGTCAGTTCTACCAACTCGAAAACAAATTTTATTAACGAGCCAATCCTTATTTTCTTTATAAAACAACTTTAATTTCAAGACTAGTTATCATTGCCGCTATAAACTCGAAAACAAACAAGTATTGAACCAACTCCTAATTAATAACTCTTTTACGTAAAATAACAACTTTAGTTTCTATAACCACAAATCTCTAGTATTATAGGTTTAGTTGTAACCGTGACATCCTTAAGATCGATAGTTTGATCTTCCACTCTTGCATGATTGAACTAAAAAAAGAAGAAGAAATTGTAACAGGTCTATAATTACAACTTTGAAAACATTAATTAATAAAACATTATTTGAAAGTAGAGATAGATTGATGGGATGAAATAATATATTCAGCCTTAGACCATACAAACTTGAAGCCATTTTCCATGGCTACGAACCATTGCTTTTCCACTACAATTCTCGAGTCACTCTCTCTTTTCTCATTTTCTCTATAATCCCATTATGTCTAATATATCTCAACCAAAGTTTATGAAGCATTTTGAAGGACCCCACGAAGAAGAAAAAAAGAGAAAAAGAAAAGCTTCAACTTTTCAAAAAAGAAGTGACATCATTCATTGATTGTGTTTTAGTTTTAGTTTTAGCCACGGTGAAGGCCTCTGAAGTAGTTGAAGTCATGGTGCTGGACCCTCAGCTGCTTTAGCCATGACTCCGCCACGCTCGACAACGCCACCAGCCTCTCGTGGTCCCGCCCACCGTTCCCCGCCACCCATAGGCTACCCTGCATCTTGTATGTTGCCACCCCGAACGCTGCCACCGATATCCCTTCCCCTGCCTCCCTTTTCCGTCGCCTCGCCATTCCACCCCTTTCCATCTCCCCCTCCTCCTCCGTTTCCATATCTACAACATCATCCACCACAAAATAAGAGATCAAATTTATCCTAACCTATCAACTAGAAATTTATTACGATATTCAAACACTCAAAATCATTTCCTCTAAATTTTTGCAACAATCACTCGTTCAATTTTGTACGAATTTACATACCCACAAGTTAAGGAAACATTTAAAAATACGAATAAAATATGATACGCACAAATCCATCGAACACCTTCTTTACTCACTACCCCTAAGGTTTGACAACTATTTTTTCTAAAAGAAATAGAAAAAAGATCTCTTTCTCTTTTTCTCTTTTTTTCATTTTTCCTTTTTTACATTTCTCTCTACTATTTGTCAAAAGTTTACTCGTCGTGACTCTTCGGGTCCATGTATAGTTCATTAAAGATTACCTTCACACCTTCGCCTTCTACTAAGTTGAGTGGTAATTTAGCAAGAGTGAAAGAGAAAACAGAGTACCTTGAAATGAAGATGAGAGAGTGTGATAATTGAGGAAGCAAGTGGACAAATCCTTGATTGTTCTTCCCATAGGAATATGATATATTGGGTACCTGAAAAAATTGTTCCAAATCATCATATATTCATCATCCAACGCTCCACAGTACAAAACACAGAAGAAACAGAGTGAAACAAGTACCACGACACAGCCATCCAGCTTGCTGGCGACAGATCCACACTTCTCAGTGTCATCAACCCCGGGTATCTTCGAGCTAATCCATTGATCTAAAAAGGGTCCAACAAAAAAATTTCAAAACATGCTCCAAATTTGTTCCTTTTTCACAGTTTTCGATGAACCACACAAGCCAAGAACATTTCCCACAACATTAAAACCATCAAAAAGCAGAAAGATTGTCTCCTTATTTAATGCACACCAAAGTTTCAAAAGATTCTCTTGGTTTATTTCTTTAAGAAGGGTGTCTGAGAAAAAGAGCTTCAGAGAGGGACCTTATCCAGCAGAGGAACTCTTCCATAGGGAGTGGATTTCTCAAAGAACTGAAAATACAAGTTCCCCAATCGATCATTCAGATGCAAAAGTGCTTCTTGTTCAGATCCTCCATCTTCAGAGGAGCAGCTTCCATCCCATCTCCATAGCTTCTCGCTCTCACTCTCTTCACTGCAACAATCACTGCACGAATCCCTCATATCTCCATCCCCAGACTCTGTTTCCTCTCTGAAATTCATTCGAAACCCACTTTTCAATTTCTTTCAAATTTCCCCTTTTGGGGTTTGAAACAAAAGATTAGCAAAAGAGAAGAACATATGAACCTGAGGGCAGTGAAGATTTGGATGGCGGAGAGATAAGGAACATAGTACTGAGTCAGAGTCTCGCCGTTGCTTAAAGTGATTGGAACTTTGGCGCCATAAGCACTCCATTCATCGTAGCACTTCCACAGATCTCCAAGAGTGAAATATTCAACACTTTCTCTCTCCCATGGATGCCATAGCCGATTCAGATTCCTGGTCTCCGTCTGCAAATTTTGATACAACCCCATCAAAATTAATGAAACGAATTGGAGATTAGAAACTGGAAATGGGAAATTCGAAACAGGGGCGAACCTTGGGTAGGAATTGGGATTGGACCACTGGGGTTGTGCAGTGGAGAAAACAGTCCAAATTGGACTCCATTGACCCTTTATTAGAGAGAGATTGAAGGAAAAATGCAGAAAACAGAGAAGAAAAAGTGAGGAGAGAGATAGAGAGAGAGATTGGATTTGAGAGAAACAAGGGGCGGAGAGAGAAACAGAAAAAGAAAAGAAAAAAATGCTAAATGGCAGTGCGAGGAATTCTGTTCTCTGACGTTTGGACAGCAAAAAATAAAAATAAAAATCCTTTCTTTTTTTCTTTTTTTCTGCTTCTTCCTCTATTCACTTAGATTCCTCGCTGGTAATGTTGTCAAATTCAATCTTTTTCCATCCTCCATTCAATTCAATTCCCTCCAAAACAAAAACCCATTGGACTTTTCCTCGTTTTTTTCTATTTTCTATCTTCTCCCCCACGTCAAAAAATCCAACAAGATTTCTTACAACCCAATAAAATTCTACCCTTTTGATAACAACCCAGAATCAAAAACCAGAGAAACCACCCGAATACAGCGCAGATTTTGGTAGAAAAACGAAGCCCAAAACCAGAAGGAAATGAGGAGACGCTACGAAACCATGAACATATTATTTTACCTTTATTTTCCAACGGAAACCCATAATTTCTGGACGAATGATTAGTTTTTTTTGGAACAAATTATGACGAAATGAAGCTTAAATCTAACAGAAACAAAAAGGAAAACAAAAGGCCGACTCCCCGAAGAAAATTACAGCAGAGCAAAACAGAGTAGAGAGACAGAAAAACAGGGGATTTCTCAGAAATTTCCGAAACTGAAAAACAAAAAGAAAAAAAAAAGAAAAGCAAAGGAAAAATTGTGATGCTAACAAGAACAAGTAGAATTGGGTGCAAAGTTTATCATTTATGTAGTAATCTGAAGAATAGGGGACGCATTATACATAGTTCTATGACGTCCTTTTCATTTATTGACTTTTTTAAATTGCAATAAATATATTGAGCTCATATGGGAGACATTTACATGTCTTTATTTTCTTTGGAAAAAATAAATTATTGAGGATATCATATGATATTTAATAAATAAATTGACTAACTTGGGTGGTTTGTTCAATTATTTATGGGATAATTTGGAAAGAACCAAGATCTTTTAATTTTTAATAAATTGTATTTTAATTATTTTCGCAAGAAATTTTATGAGCAGAAAGAATAATATACTTCCATTCACGTCACCGATTTATGGCATTGGGATGGGCATTCACCTGTTTTTAGTTTTCACCTTTTTTTAAAACAGTCGTAACTAAATTTTGTTGAAAATATAAATACCCATCCTTTTCTTTTCAGTAAATACTATTTTTTCTTTTTGAAATATAGTAAATACTAACGAGTGTAAAATAACTCATCGAAAATTTAAATCTATAGGGCGAGGGATGTGTCACCTCGTGGAGATATATGTCACATGGTATAATAATCGATAACAGTTAACACTAGTATTTATAGGTCAATAGTTTAGTGTTAATTGATATCTACTCATTTAGGTTGGAGGTTCGAACTCTCGTACTTTTAATTTGTTGTACTAAAAAAACACAGCTTATAAAGACTAAGACTCCACGTTTACTATTCACTACCATGACGTAAGTTCACCTCGATTTCGACTTGAGGAAGATCCCAACAAACAAAAAATTAGCTGACAGTTGGTTGAACGATAATTCTACTAGTAATAGGATCTTCTGACTGTTGGTGAAAGATCTATTTAATAATAGGTATGAGCTTTGGCGCCCCGATCGTAGAGCCACATTTCCCATTGCTCTCCCATAAAAGGTTAAGTCTCACATTCTTAAAGGTGTATGTCTCTTGGATTCAACTAAGCTTCACTCTAAACCTACAACTTGAATTAAGTTCTAACTTAAATTTCGAAGCGTACTTGGTCGAACACCACGCCAGCTCAATGTTTTGTTTGAAGAACCCATGTTTGATCGCTTGCTGATGGGTCGCATCGACCAGAATCCTGCATCAACGATACCCACTCTGCATTTTCCTCCATTTGTCTGCAACTTTGATCAAACATTATCTTTAATCAAGAGAATAAGATGGTTGAAGTAGTATAAACCACAAGCTCTCCACTCCTAATTATAATTTAGTCAAAATAGAATATACTTTTTATGCTAAATTTAAGGACAAAAATAAACTATTTAGAAAAAATCTTATTAATCGTCTCTTTTTTAGTACAACATGTAGGGTGAGGATTCAAACTCACAACCGAAGATTAATGCCTAGACCAATTGAGTCATGTTCAGTTTGAGAATCTCGTAATTGGAATACTAATCAAACAAGGGAAACGTTGAGGCTGAAAAAAAATATGGGGGCAATATTATAGAAATAGAACTACAAAATCTTGATTTTTTTAAGTATAAGATAATTAAATGAGTCAATTATCCTATTTTCCCCTTATTTTGGTCTGCCTTGATACGTGATTGGTTGAGTGTGAAACATTATTATATATTATCATATTGGTATGCATATTCAAATGAAGCATCATATCATATATCCATATCGCAAAGTAATTAATCAAGAGCTAAGGTAATATTGAAATAATGGAATGCAATCAGATAGGAATTATGGTAAAATCCAGAGAGAGAGAGACAGGTGTGGGAATTAGACAGCTGAGAGAAATAGGAAATTATTGAATTTTACATAATTGAGATCCCAATATTAAATGGGTTTTGATTTGGAATTTGTTTGGCTTTTTGGTTACTTTGAGACCCAAAAATTTCAGAAATTAAATAGTGTGAATTTGCCCTCTAATTTCCACTTCTCCTCTGCATTAAATTTAAAACTATGGTTTTCTTTGAGTAGTAAAATGGTGGTTGGGGGATGGGATATGTGGGATTTCAATAAAGAAGATGATGAATATTCAAATGCCAACTTTTGTCTCTCCTTTTATTTATGTTCCATCTGTTTCTAGCTGCACAATCCTCTCTCCCTCTCCCCTTCAATTTGGACTTGGTTATGGAGAATCCTTGTTTCGACTTTCGAGGTCCAATTTGGATCAAGTTCGAGAATCGTCCATATTTTTAGGTCAGGGTCAAGTAAGATTGAGATTTATTCCAATCTATCCCTACAATAATAATAATCATAATAATGAAAATTTTCTCCCATCATGACTCCATTTTGAGTAAGGATGTCGACACAAATCTCACTGAAATTTTCATGTCAAAAAAAGGTAAGAAAATTTTCTCATTTCAAGTAAGGATCTTTGGACGAGGACAAAATCTCAATGGCAACTTAAATTTCATGGAGATCTCCTAATCAAAAGTGGCTTAAGTTATTTAACCAAGGGTGGATCTTATATTAAACGCTTCAACTAATTGATTTGAAAATTAAGAAATGGTTGACTTTTCTCAATCGAATTTTAATGGGAACTGTTGTCTTCTTCTTTTTAAAGAAAAAGGGTATTATTATTATTATTATTATTATTATTTTAAGTTTTTGCTCCGTATGTGTTATATATGGTGTGTGTATGTGTTGATTGTAATTGAACAAATCTGAATTTTATATTACCTTGTTTGAAATTTTGTCTTGGGTGAAGATTCGATGAAAGTGACAAAGAAATATAAATATTTAAAAGTGGGGAAATTTATACAAATAATCTTTTCAGAAAAAAG